CTCTATTTGGCAAATGGCGAACAAGGCCCATGATGCAGATGGGTGTTGGGCCGACGGCGGGGTATTTTTTCTCCATGTTCACGTCTGATGTATGGTGGCTCGTTGACGAGCATTTTGGAGTTTTAGCGAGCGACTGGGATGACCGATGTCTTCAAAAATATACACGACACAAGCAGTCTATAACAGGGCGGGCTATAGCGAACCCCACTTTGTTCTATAGGCTTTTGACAGTGGCAAACAACGTCTGGACTAGGTGTACTCGCCGTGCCATGCATGTCGGCGCCACGCGTCATTGCCGACAGAGTGGATAAGTCCAGGATGTGGCAGGCTATGAAAAGGGCAGACATGGCATTGCAGACAGGAACCAGGCGGTTGAATGCAAGCGGCAGCGAGGGTTGGGCGCGTAGGGTTTCAGGAGTTTGTGCTGCCCCCTTCCCCCCTTCCCCCCCCCCTGGCTTTGCCCAAGCCCAGGATGGCGGACCGATGCTTCGGCATGGAGAGGCAAGCGAGCTGCAGCATGGCAAACGGGTGTCTGGGCAGGACGGCACCGTGGCCTTGGACAGGCGAGCAAGATCTCCGAGATAGCACTGACTCGCCCAGGGCCCGGTCGAGTACATGTAGAGCAGGTTTATCGAGGCGCAATTTTGTAGTGGGCCCTGCCAACGGATCGCGGGTCGAGGGTCGCGGGTCGCGGGGCGGGTGCTTGTGGTGGACGTGTGTTGTTGCAGCAGCAGCAGCAGCAGCAGGTTTTGCTGGAGATCCGGCACAGTGGGTCGGGCAAGGCTTCTCCCGTATCCCGCGCGTCCCTCCCGCACGAACGAAGGAACAGCGCTGTGCGCGAGGGCAAAAAACAAAGGGACGAGACGGGCAAAAAAAAGAAAGAGAAATAAAGGGACATGAAAAAAGGGTCATGGCTGCAACCGGGAGGGATTCCCATCGGACTGGGCCCTGTGCTGCGCTGCACTGCTGCACTGCTGCTTCGCGCGCGCGTGGGCACGCTGGCACGCTGGCAGCTGGTAGCTGTTCGGGCACGTCGCTCCCACCCCAGCCATCACGCGTCACGCCCGCGATAGTTGCTAACAGAGCATAGCTTGCGCAGGGGCCTTCTCCCCCCCCAGTGATTAGCCGGGCCTTCTTCGCATCGCCCCCACCCTCACCACCACCAGCGCTGTCCCAGTCTGTTCAAGCACACACACACACACATACATACACAGCTCGTTAGCGATCGACGAGTCCTTCTGACATGTGTGAGTGTGAGCCACCACCCATGCATGGACAAGACCGCCCTCGGCAGACATCGGCAGCCCATCCCCCCGGAGTCTGCATCCACGCCCACTCTGACCGCCAGTCTGCACAATTTTCCTCCCCCCTTGCCCCCGCGCCAGCCTGCCGAACTGCCTGTTCGCCATCGCTCGAAGCATACGCAACAAGAAGCGGGATAGGGACACACACACAGACAGACAGACAGAGAGAGAGAGAGAGAGAGAGAGAGGAAGAGAGAGACAGCAGCGAGCAAAGGCATGAGGGGGCGGGAGAGGGGGGAGCGGAGGGTGGGGGGAGCTAGCGACCGACCCCGACAAGCGGTGCGCACATTGTCAACACCGACACCCTTCTTCCCACCAGCCCTTGCATTCAACCCTCCTTCCTTTTGGGTGTCGCCATGCACACCATGGGCGAATCACTCTTCCTCCACCGTCCAAAGACCTCCACCACCGGTGTGACTTGCCAGCACATGAACTCTATCGCACCCTCGGTACCAGTCAGCATGCGCATCCGCCCACCCGTCTCACTTACCAACTGCGAGGTCCTGCCGTCTCGCTCTCTCGCTGTCAGCCTACCCGATTGCGCCGCGCCTCCGCCTGTTGGCGCCGCTCCTTTCTTACCACCCTGCCGGATAAACTTCACTCACACATGACTGGCTCAAATTCACCTCTTCGCCGACTTTTGCATGCCCTACCCTACACTAGGTGTAGGCCCTCGTGCGCACTTGTGCTTGGGGAATTTGCCGCAAAGGGTCCGCTGGAATAATTCCAAAGCATTCCCCTTGGGATCCTGACCACCATGGACAAGCCCTATAGCTGCTGCCACACGCCCCGAGCCACCTCCCACGACAACGTCACCTCCTGTAAGCTGCTCACTTTTCTTTCATCTCCTCCCTGTCCGAATGATGACAAAGCTGGGGCCAGAAGAGTTCCTCTCCTCTGCGACTTTCGCAGACGCAGTGGATCGCAGGAACTGTGCTTTCAAACCCAGCAACTTTTACATCTTCTCAACTCACCTGATACAATACACGGCTAGAGCATGCGTTTCTTAGGTCATGTCGTCGGACGTGCTCAAAAGCTAATGATTGGCCAGGGTCCTCCTCTCGCCTCAGTGTCAGAACCAATGCCGCCATAAGCCACGACATGGTGCCATCCACTCTTGGGGACTGGTGACGTCCGCCCAAAAGCTAGTCACGAACCGGACTTCCGAACGGTTACACAGCCACTATTTCCGATGCCACACACGAATCAGACAGCCGCTCCATGAGGACTAAGCTGACTAGCCAAGGCCGCATTTGACGTGCCGCGACCAGTGTGCACTCTGGCCCATGGCTTTCCCTCATGACATGCAAATTGGTTAAAGTTTGCCATTCCTCGTGACTTTCCATGGTCCAAGTTCCCAGTTCCCGCAACCCGAGTTTTCAGCTCTCGTCTCTTTAAATGTCACCATGCTTGCAAGGTCCGCCTCGTCACTATATGGAAAAGCCCATGGTTAGGGCACTCGGCGACCAAGAGGGGCGTGGCCACGGATTTCACCATGGTCAGGGGCAGCTGTCTCTAAGCAAAGATACCACGTGCTTGCAATACGACATGTTCCCGTCTTTTCCAGGATAAACGCTGTATGAATCGAGTTTGTGTGCCTCCATCACGGTAACAAAGCCCCTTTCTCAAAATACGGCCCTAAATGCGGCCGCGGTCCAAAAACTTCTTGGGCAAATCGACCGTCTTGGCACGCATGTACTCCATGGTGTCTGTACCAGTGTTAGTTGAAGCAACCAGAACCATCGCATCCACCGTGCCAAAATCGCAAGCACGACTTACTCTTTCCCAGAGTATCCAGTTCAGAACTTGCATTGTACCCCCGATCGAGCTGGTCATGCAGCAAAAAGTGGACTGCACGGATCCCTGCCATCTCAAACCGATCAATCGCCTTGCCCTTGTACTCTTCCTCCCCAAGCAGCTGCTTCACCCGCTCAACCGTCATAAACGACCGTAGCCAGTCCCACTCGTCATCATGGCGAACAAAAAACCCACAATTGCAATCCGACGCCTTGTCGCCAGACCGTCCCGCAACAATGTAGCCCAGCGGCGCACGCACCGTCTCGCCAAAAGAAGCCACATCAACGGGCGACAATGTCTCGTACGAAGGCTGCTGCCGGGGATATTGGCGTGTGGTTTTCGGTGGCTGGAGCGTCGTGATTTGGCCGTGACCGAAAAGGGCGTGGATGCGTAGCGGAAGTTGGTCTTGAGACATGAGCGTGACCCAATACTCGTAGTAGGGCTTGGGCGCAATCTGCCGCAGGTCATTGGTGAGGGAGAGGCCCGGAGCGCACTGCAGGAACACCTCGAGACACCATCGGTTGAAGCCGTTGGGAACATCGGGGCGCACAAGCTCCGGGTCCGACGTCTGCGCGAAGACGCGAAAGTCGACTGTTGCTGCATCTTGGTGGCGAGCGTCTAGCGGTGACGAGCCAATGGCATGGAATCGAAGTGTTGTGAAGCGCTTGACGCTTTCGCCCATGGCTGCTGCTTGTTAATGCCCCGGTGTCCCAATGAAGCCTGAGGCCATGTATTCATGCATACCATGTCTGATTTGGTCTTGGGTGACTTTGCATTTTTCCTCGATATCCAGCCCGCACATGTACATGTGCCATTCGCATTGCCAGCCTGCAGGTGCAGTAATACCGATCTTGGTCGTGGGTGGAGGAGGCAACCCTTTAACTCCACTGACACGTACAATGTCCTCGCCCACCTGCTCCATCTTGACGTCGGTAATGTCAGCTGTAACATCGCAATTGTAGTATAGCGGTCCTTGAATCTCGTACAGCAGCTGGGACGCACATGATGCAACCGTTACACATCCTAAATCATCTGTTACTCACATGCCTTTGGTCATGAATACTGTGCCACTTACCGCCGCTGTTCTTCTCCTTTGCAATGTTGAATGTACCATCATATTCGACTTCAGCAATGGGAAATCCCATGTTGACATGCTTGCCAGTCTTGATCAGATCCTTGAACATGGAGTAGTATCCTCCACACACATAGCTCGAGCACTCGATCAAATGTCCTGCGACAAGAGCCCCAGCAAGCTCGTCGAACTGGTCGTTTTGCCAATCGTGCCACCAGCTTTGATGCCTGTTAGTCGAGAAACGGACACAAGTGACAAACTCAGCAACTTACGCCGCAGCACCAATGACAGGCGCAGCATCGGCAACTCGCCCGGCAATCACTATGTTGCCACCCTGGCGAAGCGCCTCTGCTATGCATAACCCGCCTAGATAGGCTTGGGCGCATATGGGCTCCATGCCCCATTCTTCCAGCTTCTTCCCGTGCATGAGGCTTTCAAACTTTTCTCCCCTTTTGATCAAGCTGCTGACCTGGCTCGTCACATCATCGCCTTCTATCCACGCCACCTTGACGTGTCCAGCCCCTTGTTTCGACAACATGTCGACAACAACTTCAGCTAGGAGTTCAGTGTCTGACGCGCCGGCATTGACAGCAAGCTTCGTCTTGTTCTTGACTAGATTCGGGATTGCAGGCTCAAAGCACTGCAGAAACGTATCGGCATACATGGCCGTCTTCTTACGCTCTTCCAGGCTTTGCGTTCCGTTGGTCTGTTTGTTGCCTTGTTTTTTGACTTTGCCGCTACCATGCACCGTCATTGTCATTTCCGATAGCCAGTCGCCTGGCAGAGTCAGCTCGGGTTCGCTGTACTGTATTGCAAAGAACCGTCCTACCCATGACTACATCGACTTCTGGATCACCGGCCATACGCGTAATGGCAGTCGAGCGGTCTGTAAAGCCACCCGAGCATCCCGCGATGCGCACAGCACGCTTGCGATCGGTCGAAGGAGACATCTTGACACGTTTCGGAGGAGGGGCCATATACTCCCTTGGGCAGGATTAACAGGCTTCAAATAACATTCGACGACGAGCGTTGGATAGAGCAGCCGACCTCAGCAGCTATATACCAAATTAACCCAAGGCTGCAAAACAGGCCCTACCCATCTCGGCATCTATTGCGCCCAAGAGTGGCCAATCAAGACGGAGAATGCAATGTGTCATGGCACTACGGTCGTATTCCAGGACTTGGTGCGGGTAATAATTCACGATGGAAGACGATTTCCTGACTGAAGTTGCGGCGGGGTGCGGGGAAGAAGACGGATGCCATGTACAACCTTCAATTCGGCGTGAATCTTGTTTCGCAGCACATCCAATCGGAATAAAAAGTATGTGGAAGGAACTACAATTGACGGTATATTTCGCATGAGGTAGGTCACCCTCGACTCTGTTAGATGGAGAGGGAAAAGCGATAGAGCACCGGTGCATAAGGGTCCCAATCCGACACATGACTCACGCACTCGTGCAGTTGGGGCTGGCATGAGTCAAAGCCTTGACGGGCTGCTTGTCCTCGCGCCGACCCTGCCTATGACACTCGCTACACCCTCACATTACAAGCGATTCACAGCAGTCTCTTCGGAAATGAGACCAATGTATCAACAGGCTCCACAAGTTTCGACCCAGAAATGTTGTATACTAACATTGTATCTGAATATAAATCGATATACACACCCTGATCCTCAAACCTTGTCGCCAGGAGCCCCCTCGGTTCCCAAAACAGACCCATGCCCGTTCTCCAATGTCTCGACGAGCCGCCTTGGCCCTTGATAACCTTTGTTCCTAATCCAGAGATACCATCCGCCGAGGAGGATCGTAATGCCACCAGTCAATGCACTCGTATAGTTCATCGTCGTGGTATTGAATGGCACCGCAAATGGGAAGCAGTAGATGGGTATCCAAACAACCATGTACGCGCTGGCCAAGCACGCCACTATGTAAAAAACAGGGTCTGGCATGGTAAAGGGTCCTTTGACAACATGCTTGCGGCGTGAAAATATATTCGGGACAATGAAGGCGAGGTAGGAGAGTGACGACAAGACGATAAAGGAGCCAACGAAAGCGCTAAAAGCCGTACTGCTGCCAATGTAGATGCAGCCTAGGATTGTGTTGATGACACCACAGGCCAAGGTCGCGTTGAATGGATTCTCCCACTTGCTGTCTACCTTGCCGATCCATTTGCTGAAGGGTGTCGCGTCGTCGCGGCCGAGTGTCCACAGCATGCGTCCACTGGTGATGTAGCATCCGATGTTTGTGCAGACCATAGGCAAGAAAATGAGAATAAGGAGCCCGAGGGAGCCGCCATGAGAGTTTGTGGCTTGCCGGTAGAGTTCGGCGAGGGGGAAGGGCCAGGGGTTGGAGAAGAGCGTTTCGAGGTTGTCTACCGAGTAGAAGATTGCGACAAGGTAGACGAAGGCGGTTGTGAAGCCGACGGTATATTGGGCGAGAATCGCTTTGGGAATGTTGTTACGAGGGCGTGGGAGCTCTTCAGCAAGATGGGATACACAGTCACTTTGAGAAGCGTTAGGGTTTGCCTAATATGTGGGTGTAGGCATATGCTTACGGGGTTCCAACGGCAAAAGCTCCGTTTAGCATTCCTGCGCAGAAGACAAAGCCATCACTGCTCCATCCTGATTGGTTTGACCATTCTCGCCATACAAAGTCGCTGCTCGCATGGCCCTTGCCTGTCTGACTCGGCATGATTGCACATACCATGATGGTGACGAACACGCCCACTAGGATGAAGAAGAGGCCGACATTTGTAAGTTTCGGTAGGGCGCGGTTTGCAAACAGGACGACTGCACAGGAAAGCCAGGTGATGATGAGGTAGGCGATGAAGACGTGCCAGCGTTCATAGGCATAGCCTGGGTGGAACAGGCCATACATTGAAATGACTTGGTTGGCAAGGATGGATGAGATGGACGCCGTGCCGAAGATCCAACCCAGGCCATTCCACCTATTGGGAGTTAGCATTATTTTTCATCTCTGCTCTGTTGTGTGGTCTGTTCCTGTGAGCAGGCAGAACAACAGTGGCACGTACCATCCTGCATAAAAACCTATAACTTTTCCAAATCTCGCACCGCCTGTCACACTAGCCCAGTGGTACACACCGGCCGAAGAAGGGATAGAGGATGCCATTTCTGCAATACATGCCGCAATCATGAAGTAGCAACATGATACAGCAATGAACTCGTAAATGACACCAGCAGGGCCACCGTTATAGAGCGCAATCACCTAAGTAGATCAGTATCAAGACCTTGATGGAAATTCTCTTGCTTGCAGCCAGACAACGGTAGAGCCACAACAGGGTCAACATACAATCGAACCTCCCAATGCCGCCCAGACATTGCCGGTTGTGATGCCGATTGCGCACAGACTCAGCAAACTGAAGTTGCGCTCCAACTCCTGCTTGTGTCCTGATGCGTTCAAAACCTCACCATCGCCAGTGGCGACATCCACGTCGACTGGCGCTGGCTTCTCCGACGACACCCGCTTTTCCAGATCCATGTCGATACTCGACAAGCAATGACCGTTGTGTGAGAGGCAGTGCCGGATGATGGCTGGTATGGGTCAATGGGCGGAAAGCAATGGTAGGAATCCAATTGACACAATAGCAGCGTACTATGTGCACAGCCCCGAGAGAAATTAAATCCCCTTGCCAGCCAGGATAGAAGGAGTGGCGTATCGATCAACTGACAAGAAGATGACCGCGATCGTCAGAAACTCGAGGTGGTGTAGTGTGAGAAAAGAAAAGAAGAATTCTTGTACTTGTGGTCATTTTGGATCAGCTTGTTGTGGCGGCTTCAGACGCCTCTATCTATGTGATTGGAAAGATGCATGTACACTACACGTAAGTACGTATGCTAAGCGACCAAGCAGAGATAGCAGTCGTATATGGGTTGCATCGAGACCCTGTAGACAGTTGCATGGTCTAAACTGGACGGCAGAATGTGGCCAGGATCGAGGCATACGCGAGATGTGACGCACAGAAAGTGCCATGTCGCCATTGGAACCGTTGGAGCGGATGAGAGAAGCGGGCTGACGAGACTAATCATGTTATGTTGGCTGGAGCTGATAAGGAAGCAGGCCATGCCCAGGGTGTCCCAGGGTGCAGATAATCGATCCTAGTATCTTGCAGGTACAGGCCATGTGGGAACCAATGAGCGGGTCCTTTATCGAAATACCGGGGGGATATGCGAGTGGCGGGCTGGACTGCAGCGACGCTTCGAATAACGCCGTGAGGTAAGGCGCGATAAGTGACGACCAGGGGCATTTGTAAGGCCTGAGTGTGCATATTGGTTCTCCACCACGGGGACAGGGACGAGCAGTCGTGTCAGGGCCACAGGGACGGGACTTGGGTGTAGAAGAGCAAGAGGGTGTGCGCCAAGAAACAGAGGCGGGTCATGCTCCCCACACGTTCTTTTTACGCTCTGGTGGTCTTGATTGGCTTGTCAAAACAGATTTCGTGAATGCAAAGGTTCCAGACGCAAAAACGAAGCGAAGGCGAATGGACTGCACAATGCGATTGGCGCGAATGGCAGAGCATGTGCATGTGAGAAGCGAAAGAAGGAAAGAAAGTAGATTTGCTGGACTTGCAAAATGAAGCATGCTACGTTAGGTTACAAACAAGGTGAGGTGAATAAGCGCCATTCCGAGTCTTTCGATAGAATGTACAAAGTAAACGCACCTGCAACTCCGAGCCCATGTCGCCCTGCCAGAGGACCATTCATTACTAATTGTTTCGTCCCGTCGAGCGTGAGCGACGTCGATTCTAGTGTCGTTGCAAATGTCAAGTCATGTCGCGTGCAAAAACGAGCAAAAGAGAAGGCGAGGCTCAGGCACTGCGCATCTCCGTGTCTTCGGCATCGTCGATGTCGCCAATCTTGCGCTTGCTGGGCGTGGCGGTGCCCTCGTCGTCGTCGGCGTCGAGCACATCGCCTTCGGTCCACTCGGTGACTTCCCATTCGACATGGACGCCGTTGTCCGTGTGTGCGCCGCGCTGCTGCTTGAAGCGTCCAAGGCGTGTGTTGCGCACAATCTCCTCGAACCAGGGAGCGCCGCGAGACTGGGGGCCTGAACGAGCGACGGTACGCGAAGCGGTTGTGCGCGAGGGGCCAGCTGGGGCCGTCTCGTCGTCGCTACTGTCGCTGCTGGGCAGGAAGCCAAGATGGCTCAGCAGCTCCTGGTCTTCGTCCAGTAAGCTTCCGACCGTCAGGGAGATGTGCTCGGCCTCGTCGCGCGTGCGCTCATTCCACGACGAGAGCTGGGTTCCGCAGTAGCCGCAGAACTGGCGCCGAGTGTGGGATGCAAAGGGCGACTCGAAGTTGCGCTTGATGCTCAGTCGTGTCTCGTCCGGAAACTGGGCGAACGTGGCCGACGTGTACCATGGCAGAGGCACGCGCAGCCAGAGAGTGAGGGGGCTGGCGGCATGGTATCCTGGCAGCACAAGTTAGCGACGGCCATAACGTGACCCTCCAAAAGCCCCCCCAGGGTCAAGTGAATCCACGCGGCAAGCAAAGGGGGCGTCTAGTACTTACGCGATGAAGGGGTGTTGTCGTATCGCAGTTCGGCTAGGCGGACCTGCTGTGGCGGTATCTCGATCACATAGCGGTTGCGTCCGCAGGCACACGAGCCGTGCAGCGTCTGGGATGCCATTGTACGTAGATGGTGCCTTTTGGCGATTGACGTGGTTCAATGCTGGCGCGGGGCTGCGCGTCGAAAGCAATCGAAGCTGCTGAAGTCGGTTGTGGTTGCGCCGTCCCCAACTGTTGGCCAAACCGAGGGTGCTGTGATTGGGCGGGCGGCAGTCTGGTGTCGTCGTGCAAGCAGTCGTGCGTGCAAGTGTAGCAAGAAGAATTACATATACACGAGCATGCGGTGCAGTGGCCGCGTTGCGCTGTCACTGTCGCGGCCATGGGGTCATGGTCTGCATCGCGTCATGAGTGGGGAAACACTCCAAAAAGGAACATTCGAGCATGCCCTCGCATCTTCGCGAACACACACACACACACACACACACACACACAACGCTCAACTCCCCTTCTGCTTGGCCGGCGCCCTCTCGTTAACCCGCACAATGGCCTCTCGCGCACCCTCCCAGCACTTCCTCTTGCCCTCGAAAAGACGGTGGATGTGCGGGCTCCAGATGCCACCCATGATGAGGTTGCACAGCTTCCTCTCCCGCAGCCAGAACAGCCACCCTTTCCACCCATAGCCCAGATAGTCGTGCACCCCGGTTCCAGCCAGGCTGTCCATGGCCTTCACCCACACGCCTGCATCACACATGCCCGGCGAGAGGTTGGGACTGTCGTGTGCCTGGTCAGCAAGCCATTCGTGGTGCTTGTCCACTGCAGCTTTCATGGCGAGACGCCCAGGCAGTGCCGACTTGTTGGCCCAAACCTGCGCCACTGCCATGGACGCCATGTCGAAAATTTGAAAACCGCCCAAGGCGAAGTGCACGTTTCCCAGAAAAGCCAGGCTGTCGGGCTTCTCCAAGGAAAAGACGTTGAGGTACAGCCGGAAGAGGGATTTGCCGTTGGACCCGGGTGCCTCCAGCCACCGCTGAGGGTGGCATGTTGGGTCAAATCGCGGCTCAACCATGCTGAAGTCGGACTTGTACCCGGTACACCATACGATGGCGTCGACTTCGACGCTGGTTCCGTCCTGAAGTTCGACTTTCGTCTCAGACAAGACTCGTCGAATCCCCGCAACAGACAGAACGCTGCCCTCTTCTAGACATGAAACCAGGCTGTCAGATATCAGTGGCACTTTTCCCGCTGGCTCCAGTCGCCACTCAGGACGGGTATGGAAACTCCTGTCCTGCATCTGCTTGAAGACACGGTCCAGGAGCCTATCGCCAAGCCGTGGGAAGAATCTCGTAATCAGACTCTGTATGGTGAAGATGCGCAGGCTGTATGGATGATCTAGGGGAACGCCGTCAAAACATCGTGGAATCTGTTGCCAAAGGTCAGCCTAGAAGATTCACTCGGAAAACCAACTATTTTGGATCATTCCAAGAGGAAGATGATTCATCTCCAACCCCTTTGGCAAGAGACCGTGTATACTGCGACAGGATGAAACTCACGATTCTTGCCCCATGCCGATGCGCCACATACACTTTGGCTGCATGGCCCACGAGTTGGGTCGCCGTATCGGCGGCGCTGTTGCTGAAGCCAACCACCATGACTCTTTTTCCTTCAAAGTCTTTTGGTTGCTTGAAAGCTTGGGAGTGCATGCTAGTGCCACGAAACTTCTCAATGCCCTCAATAGCTGGCATGTTTGCCTTTGCAACCATACCGCCATTTGCGATGACAACCTTGTCAAAGTACTGCTTACCCTGCCCTTCGATGGCAACCACCCATCTCTGCTGTTCCTCGTCAAAGGTAAGCTGATGAATGCACACACCCAGCCGGAGATAGGGCTGGAGCTTGAAATGCTCCATGTAGGCTATCAAGTACTGTTGTACTTGCGGAGCCGTTGGATGTGAAGGGACATGATCAGGGAATGCAAAGTCTGTGAAGCATGCCCGCTCTTTGGAGATGTTGACAACGGTTGTCTCCATGACGGATGTCTGCTCCTGTGTCGAGTACTGCCACAGGCCGCCCACGTAGCCATTGCGATCAAAGCCAATGGCGTTGAAGCCTTCTTCTCTTAGATTCTTGAGCGCTGCGAGGCCCCCAGGTCCTGGTCACGTCAGTCAGCCGTTTCGCACTGCAGTTGACAAGCGAGCATCTTACCGAGACCTATGACTGCCACCGTGGTGCTCTCAGCCATGTCCGATGGTCCGTCCGATTGCCACAGTATTTCAGGCGCGGGCGTGTTTGTGTTCTTGTTTTATTTTTCTGTGTCAGTTTTGTTCATACACGCAACCGAAACATGGGCACGGGGATTGACATGAGTGTCTTGTACCAGATAGCCGATATACTTGGAGAGATGGTGGCACGGCGTCACTCGCGTGCCTCGGCGGCGGTCTCACCTCGGATAATCTACGTAGTATATCCGTCTATCTTACGCCGTGCCATTCCTTACTCGTGCTCGTGCCGAATGCCGCTTGTACACATACATGGGTAGCGTCCAGCAGCTTAAAGGGTGTGCGGGAGCCATCTTTGCTTTCTACGCACTCGCACAGACTAAACAGAATAGCGCCTTTTGGTGCCGTATGATTCGCGGCTTCATGGTCATCCCATCTGGGAATGCTCGGCGAGAGACTGTGTGATAGTACTGGTATTGGGGTACTAGTACCTCGCATTGGCGGCACAGCCACCATGCCGCATCGACGCCTACTTTCCTAGCACTAGTATGTGTGTGGCGCTCTGCCCCGCTTCACAGCCCACGCTCCCACTCCCACTCCTAAAGCCAAAGGAGGGCTGTACAGGTGCTTTTGCGGCCTCGTATGCACATGCTGCTCCCACTACATTGCTTTATCGGGCTCATCGGCTGCCCGAACCGGAAATAACATGCGCCTCCACAGCCGCAGTTGCATGTCGCTCCGTCATCTCAAGGCAACAGCAACACACTGCACCTGTGCCTCGCCTACCGAGACAAGCGTGATAAACTTGCGACACCGCCTTCACCACGCCTCATCTTCTTCCTCGCCATCGCCATCGCCATCCCTCACTCCCACATCGCCCACTAGTTTTGCTACCAAGGCACCTTGTACACACGGCCATGGCTGGGCCACCTGCATACCCCGCTGATTCGCACCCCAGCTCGCCTCCCTCGCCTCCATCCGTGTCGTCGCAGTCAAACGTAGCATTCACCCCGAGCGCAACATCAGTTGCCGACTCTTCTGACAATGAATTCGAGCCGACGCCTGTCCACAGCCCTGGCGGCCCACAATACGAGGATTTGCCCCCTTCTTATGAGGACGCTAGGCACCAGGCCGTCCACGACGCACGCAATGGCATTGCCCCCATAGACCCCAATCAAATCGAAGCCCACCGTATCACGCTCAGCCAAGGACCCAGTGATCCTGAGATCTGGGAATACAGAGTGAGAGGAGAGCAGACGGACCCTGCAAGCGAGCAAGAACACGCGCCAGACTATGCAAATCACACGAGCGACAAGGCCACCAGTGTCCCCGTCCAACATGTCAGCTCTGTCGAGAGCATCCCGGTTGGACGCATGAGGAGCGAACTCACTCCGCCCTCAACAACGTCTGGCTTGGCATCCACCCTGCTTAGCCAGGCGTTGGAATTTACTCGCCATCCAACCCATGCTGCTCCACGGCACTCGCCACACCTGAATCGCATCATTGCCATCCCTGGCGAAGGAGGCACCGATCGGCCTGCTGGAGAATACGAGCAGTTTCTGTGCGCATACACCCAAACGCTGCATGGTCATGCCGTTGAGCCAGACCAGTTCTTGGACTTCTTGCGCGGCCTCAACGTCTTGCTCAGATCGACCAACACGACAGCCAATGACCTACTACAGGAATTATCCGGCGGAATGGAGTCCTCCAGTCTTGTTAGTCAGTATATCAGAGGGGCCAACGAGGCTTTTTTTGCTCCACGGGGCCTGAGGGTATCATTCCGTAGTGAAGCAGCAATTCTTGCAGCTCTGCCTCTCCCTACAGGACCGGGGCAACGGGATGCAATTGCTAATCGTCTTGTGGAAGAACCTAGATCTGCTGCTATACGTGCCCAACGGTTCACTCCGTGGATTGAACCGCTCAATATCGAGAAGCTGCCAGCGCCGGGTGAGCACATGCACAGGCTGCACGAGTTGGGCGAACGCTTTGCTGGTCGGACTCCATCTGCCTATGCAGTGCCTCGTTTCAGCGACAACACCTCTTCACAAAGTGGAGGGTCCCGTGCCACAAGCACGTACGAAAATCCCCCTCATTCAGTTCCAACACCTTCCGAGGAAACTCAATACGGACATGGCCAACAGAGTGGATTTCAAAGAGGAAATTGGTCGCCATTTGGTGCACCAGGTTTTGGACCATTTGGACCACCTGGGAATGGGCCTTTTGGCCCAGCAGGCTATGGTCCGTTCGGCGCCCCTGGAAATGGTCCTTTTGGAGGTCCAGGTAGGGGACCTTTCGGAGGTCCAGGTAGAGGGCCGTTCGGAGCCGCTGGCAATGGCCCATTTGGCAGGCGTGGACGCGGATGTGGTGCTCCAGGGCCTTCACGACAGGGAGACTACTCTGTTGGAAAAGAATGGGCCGATGTCGGCAAAGAGATTGGGAAGATTGGCGAAGAGTTTGGAAAAATGATTGGTGATTTGGGTATGCAATTTGGTCAGCAGGCGAATAGGCTGGGCATGAACGTACAACGCGCGACGAGCGGTAGTGGCTCCCAGCAGCAAAGTGCTCCTCGAACCAATAGCTACCGACAGCCAACAGAGGATCTACCACCCTCATACGAGCCTGCATCCGGCCAAGAGAGTGGGGTTCTGCGGGGTGACCATAAGATACAACCCGACTACACAGCGTCAAAGACAGAAAAGGGCAAGAACAAAGCCAGAGACATGGACGATGATGATGATGACGACGCGTCTTCAACCTCGTCCGAAAGCTCTGATTCTGATTCAGATAGCGAATCAGACGATATGGAAGAGTACTACGATGCCCAAAACATATTTGACAAGCGTGTGCGCTCCATTGAAGAAGCCGCCACACGAGGCAACCAGAGCGCAGAACAAGCATCTCGCGAGCGGGCATCAGTACAACAGGAGAGGCAAAGGCTCAAAGAAAAGTTCGATGTAAAGCAGTCCAAACGCACTGTCATGCGTAATCTGAAGAAACGTGGTCGCGAGCTAAAGAAGCAGCACCGACAGCGAAAGAAACAACTACGTGCTTCTTCTGACGATGGCAAGGGCAAGGGCAAAGCAAAGAAGAGCAAGGAGTGGAAAGTGGAAAAGCGAAGCTATAAAGAGAAGAGAAAAGAACTGAGAAGAGAGAAACTGGCTGCGAAGAAGGAATGGCGCAAGGCGAGACAAGAATGGCGTGAGGCGAGAAGTGAAAGTCGCAAGATGAGACGAGGAGTAACGGATGGTGATGGCAATAGGGATATTGGCCAGGATAAATTGGTTTGGTTGGTGATTGAGAACTTGGGGCCTTGAAAAGGCTTACTATCAAGAGAGTGAGATAGTTTGAAGCTTGAAATGGCTCATGCTACATTATTCCGATAAAGATTATGACTGTATCCTCATAGTCATATAGTTCCAAGCCGTTTTTGCGTGGCGAAGAGGCTTAACTGGGTTCCTTCTAGTGACACCATTACACCATCATTATCTGATTATTGACGAGTTCAAGCCGCACTTTGAGAGCTTTTTAGATGAACATGAAAGACAATTCCACCCTCTGATACATCAGTACCCGTACAACATGATACGCTCGTTGGTCGAAGCCCTCAGCTTCTGGTTCTCCTTGATAAGCATCATGCGAATAATCCACGCACACACAATGGACAGCAAAGCGAATCCCGCCGACGCACCGAACCCGATACCGTAGCGCGGCTCATCGCTGTCGGGCCACAGGTACGCGCCGTAGATGTATCCAATTTGGCCTCCTACGTTGGTCATAGCAAGCACAACCTGTTCGCCTTTTGTCAGGGACCGCCGTAGCAATGATTCGAACAAGGGGAGACAAGAACTTACGGCTTTCTTTTCCTTGGTCTGGCTAAGTGTTGAAGACGCCCATCCGATAATGACCGAATTTACAGAATAGGCGCCCACTGGGAAGATGAAGCAGGCAACATATCGACCAGCGGTATTCAAAGTGCTCGCAGCAATGACGAATCCTACAACGGCGACTAATAAACCAACTGTAACGTGCCAGGTACGCTCATGCATGCGGCCAGAACTCCATCCCGTCGCGATACCTGCTGCGCCTGCGAGAAGAAACGGCGGACATGTCAGGACGAGGGTGATTGTGGTACTGAAGCCAAGGGTGCGGACGACACTAGAAGGTAGATCTTAGCACTGCGTCTGGTCTAGATATATAAGAATCAAGACGTCATGTACGTACGTCGGGAAGAAGGAATTGAACGAGCAGGCACTCAGATGGAAATTCTGCATCAAGCAGAACAGCCAGGTCCTCTTATCACGGCACGCCTGTCGAAGTCCTTCCATCATGCTGACGGGCTCCATCGAGTCACCGACGCGGTCCCGCTCGATGCGTGCGTGTGCTAGTTCGCGCTCATGTGGCTTGAGCCAGCGGGTCGTAAGCGGCGTGTTGGGAAGCATGAAGAAACCGACCATGGCCACAAGGGCGGTGACAGCACCCTCACTGTAACAATATTAGCAAGGCATAGGTGGTTGATACAACAGAAGCTTACATGATGAAGAGCCAGCGCCATCCTGCGATGCCCCGGACACCATCCATTTCAAAGACGGCTGCAGCAATCAAGCCACTGAAGCCCGTGGCGAGAATCTGCGCGCAATACAGCAGCGCAATGCGTGTGGCGACTTCTCTCCGCGTGTAGAAGATCGACAGCATGTACGTGGCGCCGGGGTAGAACGGGGCCTCTGTAATGCCTAGGAAGAAGCGACAGGCGACCATTCCGCCGAAATTCTGCACCAATGCCGTACATGCCGATACCACGGCCCAGATGAGCATCCAGCTGCTCATGTAGATGCCCGGCTTGATTCGCGTAATGAGCATATTGGAGGGGACTTGCATGAGGACATAGCCAACAAACAGGCTGTTTACATGAATTAGCCACTTCCTTCTATCCGATCTTGCATGGATGGGAATACGTACATGGAAACACAGGTATTGAACTGCACGCCAGTCATACCCAGGTCGTCTTCAAGATTGTTGAGTCGCGCTTGCGCAATTGCGTTTCTGTCGACATAGTTCAGGAAGTACATGACCATGAGTGTTGGCTGAAATTGTGTCAGATGAGATTCCCAGGTCTTGTTTTTTTTGTTTTCCGGAGATGAGTAGATGAAAACATACCATGAGTCTCCAATCAATCTTCCTCACGAGCGCAATCTCCTCGGGATCGCTCTTGCGCGCAGCACCCGTGTAGTCAGCCACAGCGGCATGCTTGTCAGGACCAAGCTCCGACTTGTCGTCAATGTGCGCCACAACGGCCGGCTTCTCGTCGGTCGGTTCGACCGTGTGTTGGGGTTTAGCATCTCCCATTGTATGTAACTACTTGGACCTGGTAATCACTCGGTGCAAGGGTACAGAGTAGGATGGAAGTGCCAATGCTGCATGCAGGTGCAGCAATTGCAAGAACAAAAGGCAAAGAAAAAGGGCATACAAGGTCCCTTTTTGAGCACACAATAGCTGAAGGCTCTCCATAGCAGTGTTCCTGTTCAGCGCTTGGCGCAGTATTGGCATACACTCCCTCCAAGACCTTTCCCCGCACTTTGTAGCGCAAGCACAGTCGTCGAGTCAGGCCATGCGGTTAGCCACAAAACTTGGCCTGCAGATCTGCTGGTAATATCAGGCGTTCCAGCAGATACCTGACGGCTTCCAAGACTTCTTCGGACCTTGTTCTGCTGCCGATCTCCACGTTTCCTGGACGCGAGGCTGCTCTTCTGCTGGAATCTGGGGAGAAAATGGGGCCGACAACGTGCTGGCGGCTACTCGGAGCTCTGGCGCCTGTCACAGCGGCGCCAACTGGCCAATGGTGGCGTCGTGTTGCCTTCGCTCTGGCAGATGTTATCCAACATGTCACGCTAGAGAAGCGCGGTACCACAGTGCATGTCTGGTGCATCACGCATGTTCCTTTCTCTTATCGCCAATTCATTCACTTGGCCCAATCATTGCTCTTTTCATGCTTGTGCTTGTGCTTGTGCTTAACATAAACATTCATATTTTGGTCATATACTTCGTTATCCAAGCCTATCATATACTTCGTTATGCAATCGAGCAATCAACGAATGCTTGCCCATGTATGCAATGTGCTTTTTCTGCTGTAGACTTCAGCTGCCTTGCATGGAGGCCTGCAAGTGAGGGTCCAGTTGCATGCCTAACACGCTGGACCAAACTTGTAGTCGACCTGTCCATTCCTGATTGCGGGGAAGACACCAGCATCAATGAGCCTAAAAGCATCCCATTCAGCCGCACCCTCCGTCTTGAAGTTCCACCAGACCCATCCCTGCGTCGCAGACTCAAATGCACGGATCTGCGCTTCAATGTAGCGCCTGGACTCGTCCTTGTACGACGCGGGCCATTGGGCGATGTTGTTTCGCCAGCTACAGTCGCCGACCCTGGGGTTGTTCAGGTATGTTCCATCGTAGCGGGCACCACGATCGAAGCCATTGAGGTATTTTGCGCAGTCACTAATGTACAATCAGCTCATGTGTTCTTTGCTCGTCGTCACAATGGTCGTGCTTACGTCATGGCCGACGTCCACTCTCCCACTATTAGAACACATATAAGTCAGTAAAGGCCTCTTGAACCACCGCATCAGCTTTCACATACCAAAGGTCCACTTGTCCGCACCGCCGTATGCGCCGGTGCTTCTGCAGGCGTATTGTGCGTGCTCAAGAGGCGACATCTTGAGGAGTGTCGTGTCAAATACATGGTATTGGTGGTGATCAAGAGCGACATTGACGGCGTTGGCATCCGAAGGCGTGAGAAATCCGTTCCAGGAGTTTGGATGAGTGAAGCCGTCCGAAAGAATGACTGGAGTGTCGGAAACGTCGCGCACTTGACCATAGCCGTCGCGGTAGAATTGCGCTGTTACATCGCGACTAAGGCCATTATACAGTGCTGGTTCGTTCAGTAGCTGGATACCAATAATGACATCCTGGTAGCTTGGTTGCGCGTATTTTTGGGAGATGGTCCGGAGGACTTGCAGTGTCTGTCGGATGGTGTCGCCACGTTGCCAGGTTGGAGTATTCATTCTCTGGCCAGAATTGTCGAATCCGTTCTGAGATCCAGGGGCGCCATGAAGATCAATGACAATCTTGAGCCCGAGGCTTCGAGCCCAATCGATAGCAGCGTCGATGTAAACACTCGCTCCACTAACATAAGGCGAGCCAAATGTGTCGTATGCCCAATATCCGATGGGAATACGGACAACATTGAAGCCTGATTGCTTGATCTTGTTGAAATCTTGCCAAGTGACGAAAGTATCCCAGTGTTTGCGAAGGATGCTCAGCGCTGTTTGGCTACCAAGCTTTTCAGCCAAGGTGTACTCTGTAAAGTCTTAGTGTCGAGGGCCAATGGGAAGGCCGCAAGCCGTCACAACATACCGTCAACGATATCTCGCTGTGGACGACCCTGGTTGGCGTTGTCGAAGATGGATGGAGTAATCCATCTGCATAAGGCGGTCAGTGACCCCAAGGTAAAGCTCGAAACAGCACACATGACTTACGGCTCGAGTACTAGCCACCCGCCAATGTTGACACCGCGAATCTTCTCCGAGCCCCAGTTGAAGCTAACCCCGCGCTTTTCACTATAGGAGTAGTTAGTGTCTGCATGCTCTACGCGTTTGTTTCACAATAAAGGGCAAAGATGGGCATGACCACCCTGTGTGCGGGAACAGGATGGTCATCGCTTTCACTTACGTTGGGGCTGCAATCACGGCAGCGCATAGCGATAGCGCAGATATAATGTTGGTCAAGATCATATTAGGAAAGTAGTAACGCTGTTAGACTGTGTGGTAGAGTAGTGACTTTGGAGATGTGGTGATATTGCATCCTTTAAGAACTGTCAAGCGTCAAGCAATGCGTAGTAATGCCAACATACCCAGACAGACAGCCTCGACGGCAACCATGGTACCCCTCCGGAAACTACGATGGCTTGAGCAACTGCTTTGCACATGATGATTCTAATTTAGTTGGGATTGCCTTCTTAACGCAGAAACGGAAGGTGTGTCGCTACCCCGGCTTACGTGCTGCGGGTACGGCCAAATCGGCAAGCATCATAGACATGCTACTGGCCTATGATGCAGAATACCAAGGGGGACGGTGCACTGCCAACTCAGAAGGTCATGCTGGGCAGAAGGCTCGGATTGTGTACCATATGAATGCAAAGGCTGCGAGAATAGTAGCCTGCCCAGCGCAACATTGGGAGTCACGATGCATGCGAAGCATCCCCGCTTGTGGGCTTGGCACCGGAACTGCAGTACATCTGACCCTTCCTCTCCCTTGAGAGTAAAGTCACAGGATTCAACAGCGCGGGGGACATGACTGCGCGTTGTGCCGAGATAGACTGGCTGGTGGGTTATTCTGTGCCGAGATTTTCAACAGCGGCACGCTAGCAGCAGTTTAAGGCCCGCCATAGTCGCCTAAGTGAGGTTAAACCGAACGGGCCTATGAGAGTTGTCGGACGCGGTGAGGGCGAGCAGGGTGAAATTCCATGGCGGTTCTACGTTGCGAATGGCAGCAAAGACGCGAGCTGTTCCTGTGGGTTCGGCACGGCAAGATGCTTGGCACCTAGTCCGTCTGATGTGCGATGCATCATCTGACCTTGGTCAGGACCTATAGCAGTACGAGCCGGGTAGACGACGGGGCAGGGCTCCTAGTTCACCGTTTGTGCTTGGCGGCCAAGGCTTCCTCGAGACGTGCATCCCGCATCACCATGCCTAGCAGCGAGTCGTCGGGCATCTGTCTACTGTACGTGTACACCAGACGGCTCCAGTGAAGGCCCCGGGATGGCGCGTGTGACCAAACGCCACAAATGTGCACGGCAGTTGGGGACTTGTGGTTGGAAGATGCGTCGGCATGGAGTGCGTTTCGACGTCACTCATCAAGGTCGTGTGACGCTTCGTGCCGAGGGCTCCTCAGAACCGCCCGACGGAAAGGGGTCAGCGACATGCCCATTGCCTCTGTGGCCAGAAGAGGATTCAAGCTTGGCTTCGCCTGCGCTCGCGTTAGTTGGGAGACGGAGATTGACTCGCGCGAAACAGACTCAGCGACACGTCCTCGTAGTGCGGGTTGGGGCGGAGGTTGGGACGGGGGCTGGTGAGGCTACAATGACATCAAAATAGGGGTGATATCGCGAGCTTGTCCAGCAAGACAATGGGCAGTGAGAATGCAATGGAAGAAGGAGAGGACAAAGGATGAGGTGGTGTGGTACGATCAAGGTGTGGCGCCTTTCGGGGAGGCGGCTGAGGCCGCGACTGCCATGTGCACTCGGTGGCCAATCATTCCACGGCTGACGCAATGTGCCACAACCTTCTTCGAGACATCACTCTCAATAGCTCTACCTACCCTATGTTTCATGGCTACTCTGCAATCCATCCGCCCAGCCACAAGAAGCCCGGCACTGCGGTGACTGCAGACAACACGCCCAGTACTATCGCCATGGTCGCCCATCCGCTGGCTTCGGCAATGAAGCCCGCCAGCAGAGGTCCAGCCATACAACCCCCAGCAAACGCGACGTTGTACAATGCGTAGGCTTGGGCAAAAGCCCCGCCTTTTCCAAACCCGGCACGTCCGTTTGCAACCATCTTCCTCTCCTTCGCTTCGGCAACAGCTGCGATCTCGGCCATGACAGGGGCAAACGTCATTCCTATAAAGAACCCAGCCACCGCTAGTAGTGCACACAACAACACCTTATCCTTGACGGTATTCTCGTTGACAAAGCGCAAGCAGATGAGCGGAGGGCAGGCACACAAGTAGCCAGTGACAACTAGGTACCGCCCGCCATACTTGTCGCTCAACCAGCCCCATAATGGCGACAGAAACGTTGGTATGGCAAGAGGAAGGAATAGAAGTGCGGCCCCAGTTGAACTCCAGTTGAAGGTATCTGCAGCGTGGATGGTAAGAACAGAGTCAAACGCTGTCAATAAAAGCGCCTGGACAAGTGCACAGAACAGCGAGGCGAGTAAGCGTCGGGAATAGACGAGTGCTACAACGGGCGGAAGTCGATCGCGTAGACGCTGTTCAGGCGGACTCTTCTGTGGCGGTTCGAGGTTGCCCGGTTCTGATGGAGCTAATGCTTTTTCAGCATCTGGCCCAGGGCTTTGCGGTGGGAGTGCAGCAGTCAGCGTGGCGCTTCCGCTTGACTTATCATGCGGATCAATCCCCGGGCGCCCTACGGCACTAGGATCCCACCTTGCGGCAACCTTCTTCTCTATGAGGAGTAGCCGAAGAATGACATCCAGACCGACTAGCGCATAGCACATGCCGAAGACAGCATTATAACCAGCGTGGTCGTAGACGACACCTCCAAGAAGCGGGGATATCAACATGCCCAACGACATACCCGTCGACAACCACCCTGCAGCCGTTGCAAGCTGGTCTTGAGGTACAGTATCAGCCAACAAGGCGAGTCCAACAACCCATCTATACAAATATCAGTACCTTGGCGCTCCAAAATGAACATGTTCCTTACACTACAGCAGCTGAAGCTCCCTGTAATATGCGCCCAGTAATGAGCACACCAATGGAATTACCGAGGTTCAGCAACACAGTCGATCCCAGGAGCATAAATAAACCTAAGAGAAGCGGTGATCGACGAGATGAGCCCCGGTCTGCAAGCCAGCCGCAGATGGGCGAGCAAACGAGGAGCGAGGCGCCATACACGGCAACAAGTACTGAGACCCAGTACTGTACACGCGTTTCCTCTACATGGCTGCGCGATCCTATGGCAAATGGAATGACAGGCACGATGACGCCATACAGAAACATATCCTTGCCAAGTCAGTGCCAAAGACGCACACAGCTACTGAGACTGATGAAAGTGAAAATGCACATACGGTGAAGACCGCCAGCGACACCGTACCAATGATAAAGGCATCGGAGCTTCTGTACTGGAGCATGAACGGAGGGTCAGAGCCGTGCTGCGTAAACCACGTAAACCAGTTGTGACGAGCCATGTTCAGATTTCCTCAATCTTGATCTCAATGCGATACATAACATCGCAAGCTCAAAGTTGAAGAACTGATTCCGCCGGGCACTTGGCACGTTTGGGTCATGTGATGGGCGATGTCTTGTCATCATCGGTGTCTTGGAAGATCGAGTCGGCGGGGAGATTCCACAGAAGTCCGCGGTGCCGCGGTGCCGCGGGTTAGCGTTCATGCCGCAGCAGACACACTATCACATTGTACTTGGCAAAGCCATTTACAAGATTCTTGGTATGTGACAGAAAAAGGGTTTCTCGTTACTATGCTCTTCGTCGATTTGATGGTTTTTCACTATTTCTAAAAATTACAAGTAGACCAGTTGAATACAATCCATGATGGGCATGGTGCCTCGTACTGTAGTGCGCGTTAGGCTGATGGACGCATTGCTATACGCATGAACAAATTAGGTGTTTAATCACAACTTTGCGATAATATCTCTCTCGTATAGCATAGCGGATGTACGCGCAAACTTTATGTAAGTTCATAGATTAATAGCATTAGGTAATATGGACAGTTCTGAAACGACACCTTGTAGGAACCTGTTGAGCCCAACAAGAAGGCATTTCCCTAGCAGCCCTGAACCTTGACACCATCCCGCTTCAGCAGCCTACATAAGGTTCTGTACCTTCCTAACTAATGCTCCGCGTAGCGATCAACCAAGGTATAGTCTGGGGACTAGGCCTATGCCTAGGTTGAGTCAGGGTGAATGCACGCGACAATTCCGGTCAACTGCGTGCTGTGGGTCGATGCTGACGCGGCTAATCGCGAGCAATGTTACGGTACTGTGGCCCGTTGCATTCCACACCCGGATGGCTGGACGCTTGCAGCATCAAAGTTTCGAAACGGGTAATTGCGATATTCCTGTCAATACAAATCAGAACGTTAGAAATGATGCAAAGGAAGCACATGCCAGAGCACCATATAAGAAAGGCTGCCAGAACTAACTGCCGGAGCACAGCTAGTTGCGCATTTGGTCCTCCAACAATCTATTATCGACTTAGCTTTTGTGCGATACTAACAGTGCACGATCAACCATGAAGCTCACTGCAACCACCGTAGCCGCTATGGCAACTCTGCCCTTTGCATCGTCCAACATCATCACAGCGTACCAAAACATCACACTCCCAACAGCCAGCACCACCCTCCTCGGCAACTTTTACAACCATTGGATCTACCTTGGAAATGATACATACGACCTGACGCGCTCCATGGTCGCACCCACGACTAAGCCCGTCACCATTCCCATGACAGGATCCCGGAAACGCGCCCGTATCGAACCCTCGCGCTCCGCCCTCATCATAATCGACATGCAAAACTTCTTCCTGCATCCGGAGCTCACGCCTTCCGCAGACGGTGGCCGGAAAGCCGTGGAGCCCACTCTCAAGATGATTAATGCCTTTCGTAAAAAGGGCATGCCTGTGCTGTGGACCTTCTGGGGCCTCGACGATAAGGATCTCCGAGATCTGCCTCCTTCAGACATCGTAGGGTTTTCAAAGTCCAGACAAAAGCCTACAGGTACGTAGTCCAGAGTTGTGAGTATTGATTGTTATGGTAATACTAAGTCGTGCAGATTCGTTTGGTAGCGACATGGGAAAACTGAAAGACGGCACCGCGTTGGGCAAAATGCTAATGCGCGGCTCCTGGAATGCGAGACCGTATGGACCCTTATACGATGCGCAGGTCCAAGGTGTCAAGAATGGAACGGACCATTACTTCAACAAAAGTGAGCTTTCGTGTAGAGCATCATAGTGAAAACCGCTAATGCATCGCCAGACCGTGTGAGCGGCATGTGGGGTGCGCAGACACCGCTTGGTCTCTGGTTGGAAGAAAACATGATCACGACACTTTTCTTCGGAGGTGTAAACTCGGATCAATGCGTGGTATGCACTTTTGGTTGGAAACTCTGCGGGAAAAAGCTGACTTGAGCCATAAGTACGGTACAATGCTAGATTCTGTTTTCAAGGTGAGTGAATGATATCGAGACCTTCCTGGTTGACAAGAGACTGACCATGTAGGGATACGACACCGTTTTCGTTGATGATATTTCAGCGACAATAAGCCCCGAATAGTGAGTATTCTTGCACTATCGATTGAAACAACATGCTAATCGTCCGTTAGTGCCGCTCAAATGGTCCGGTATAATTCAGACCGTAAGTGGAGTTCACAGATCTCTGACTATATACCGCTGCTAACATTGACAAGTCAATGGTTTTGTTTCCAATTCGTCTCTGATCATACCCGCACTCTCATAGAGCCTAGTCCGCCCCTGTGGCGTGCGTGACTGCGGGCACTTGGTGAATCCACATTTGTAGTCCGGTAGTGCACTAGGTTAATATGATCTGAAATTATTTGAACCGCTTGTATCGCCTAAAACCATACTTTATGCGGCAACCAAAGAGGCCAGCTAGGGAGCTCTATACCCCCTAAACGTTCATACAAGCATTTACCTGACTGTGCGCCTTGCCCGATCTGATTAGTGCGACTTTTGTTCTACAAAGAAAGTATCAGGCTTTTGCTCTTATCTCATTCCATCATGAGTGTATCCTCTTGCCTTTCTCCTTTTCTAAACGCCTGATGGTACTTATATTTGAACTTTAGGCGTCATGGCGTCTGAGTAATGTGTAAGCTTGAAAATCTCAAGCCGATACTTTGCTGCAATTCTGGTATTGCATTGTTGACCGAAGGTGTGAGTATCGACGTGTATTACGCGTACGATGTATAGTCTAGCGAGTGTATCAGCTCTCTCATCCTTCAAATACCGCCCGTCTCTTTCAAACAATACGTTTTCCACTCAATACATATTACCTGTCTGAATGCCTAGTCATTTCCGATATAGCTGCAACTCTGACTGTGTAGTATCGATCATTTGTAAGAAAGAGGTGTATCTTTTTGTTGATGGTAGGCACACAAGCACATCGTTCTTCACACCAGTGGCGAGCAGCATAGGGCTCATGAGCAGATACTGTTATGACCTTTGAGTCTTTGTTTGACACTTTCATACCACCTCAGCACTTCGCGAAATTGAAAGAAGCAATAGCAGTTTTGGATATAGAGAACATGGTTTTGACTATAGTACCAGGCATGACTTATGCGAGAGAGCCAGAAGAAGTCGGATTGAGTGAAGACAAGGAGGGCTCGCAGCTGCTAGTGGATTGGGTGCGGCTGGCATTGGAGACAGTGATGATGCAGAGAAGATCAATCGAAATGATAATGACGATACTGTCTCCAATATATGGTAAAGATCTTCAGCAACCAGCATCAGCGCTTGTTGAGCTATTTTCTATCTATGTTCTAGCAAGGAAACCACATACAGCTCCGCTACAAAAGTTCGATAGCCATCTGCAATGAACGCCCTTCATGACACTACCATCAAGTACGAAAGTAACCTTTAAGAACTCCATCGCCCCGGTCCATCTTATAGACGTGGATTATTGGCGTCGGCAGTAGAAAATGAAAAAGCGAGTACGAACTTATGCTACATGTCGCCATTGTTTATGGTTCTGTTCAAGGGGCGAGAGCTAACGAGGGAAAAATTAGCGGTAAATTCTGCGGTGCAAGTTGAGAAGTCGAATAGGCGGTGGCTCGTGTTGTGGTGTGCAATACATGTAGCGCCGGTGGAGGGAGTGAAGAAGAAGCCTGGAGTACGTTGTTGAGAGTGTATCTTTAGCGTAAGAGATGGATGTTGATTGCGCCAAACCTTCACTATTACTATACCAAGGGATACATATGATAAGATCATGAAATCTAACCAAATGAGCGATGCTCAGACCTTTCCACGCGTGTTAATTCGAGGTGTTAAGGCGTTTTAATCGCCATTACTTCTCATGAAATGGCTGATGTAGTTGTCATGTACCAAGTCATGTTCGAAAAATCCAACGTCTACACTACGATTCTCCATGTGAGAAAAGGCGATTTTAACTTTGCGCGTAACATTGGTTGTTAACGTATTTTGGTATGAACTCGACTTTGACATCCATTGCTTCAAGAATATGTAATGGAGCATACTCTGACTTTCAACCTACTCTGTAAACTCTGTTTTCTTGGAGCTCACTTGTATAACTGATGTTAGTAGCTGACTCATCATCCCCTCATTGATACTGGACTTACTTATCAGCTGCACAGCAACAAGTTCCAGGGGCAGCCTAGTAGACATAGCCCTTTTTCCTGCGCATCGCATGTGAATTCCTGACCTCCTTGGTGTCAATAACTCCATGTCGTAGAGAACCTTGGCGGTGGCAGCGTAGACATCGGTCTAGACAGCACTTTCAGAAAAAGAAGCAATATAGTATCATTTTATTCCATGGTATGGATTGTTACCAGCAGCTCTTTTGCAGTTGGTACTGTCCCAGATCCATGTTGGCGGTTTTCTGGTTGTTTGGAAAAGTAATATGCAGAAAGTGTACTTCTCGCTCGGTTTACGTTTTCACCCCGTTCGAAGCATCAAGCCAGCCAGGTTGGATATCAGACTGAAGGGCATTAATAAACAAGTAGATGATGACTTAAGCGCTGATAATCGCGCTGATAATGCTTGGACGCTCTTGCGCATCTATCAGGAGCGGTTCAGTGCCATATCTTTCAGTTGCGTCAGCTTGCTCCCAAGTCCTGATGAGAACATAGAGTCGAAAGTGGTTTTGAAGTGTTGTTTTGGGCTGTCTCACAAGAAAGGAATCTCGGATACCCTGATGCGCCTTTGATTAGTACGGAGTACAACATTATGCGTGTTTGAATCAAGTGCAGATCGATTGATGGTTTGTGCTACCATGACGTAATTTCGACAAGATGAAGTATAATATATATCGAGTATACTATTGCAATGCTGCATTCCACTCTACAATCGGCACATTGAACAGAAATGATATCCGAATGTCATGCCCGTGACATTGCAAGCACGATCGGCTACGAGCGTGAATGTCTTATGGGCTTAGATATAGCAATCGTGCAAGTGAATATCCATGTCGATGCCGAGATTACACTATCATGATTGAGTCCGTGAATGTAGATGGTGGTTGTTACAGCAGACATCCGATGGTGGAGAGACATGTACCTGGTTTTGGCACAAGCTGAAGCGCGACAAGTCGACTAACGGCTTTGGGACAATGGGCTCCACTGCGGCTGAGGGAAGGGAGCAGACCACCGCAGGAGGCTGAGCCATCTCGAAATAGACTCAAGAGGATTTTGAGCAAGATGGCGGTAGGCTATGGTGGCTGGACCCTTTTAGGCGTTGGTCGATTTGGTTTCAGGGTCTTGTAGTAACGCTCCTTGGATCGCAATCGAGCGGACTTGACTCGTATGAACGATAGTATCTTCGACGTATCCCGTGATATAGGCCAGGCAAAGACGTGCGTATTTGCAAATCCATTTGCACATGTTACTTACTGTAAGCAGAAGACAGCAATGCTCCTCTTGGAATAGTGTGGGAGGACCCGCAAATCGGCAGCAAGTTCATGCGTGCTTACAGCTGTGCCACGCTCAACGCCTGGTCTTGGTATACAGCCCCCAAAGTGAGCTGAATTCAGCACAACATAAGTATCCATCGACTCGCGTTGCGGCTGAAAGTCAACATTTGCAAACACCTCGACACCCGCCATGGCTTCTGCAATTGCCTCCACGAGCGCCGACGCGAAGGCTGAAGAGATACTCAGGATCATTGAACAATACGGTCTCAACTATGAGCGAACGGGAAAGTGGGATGGGTTTGAAACATTTCTGCCTATTGTTAAAGGACAGGTCGAGCTTAAAGAGCCCATACGCATGCTGCTACCTGGGTTCCCTTTCAAGTCGCCGAACACAAAAGACAAGGTTCTAGGCGTCTTGCCAGATTTGGGTGAGGAGCTTGCGCTGAAGCATCTCGACGGCCTGTGCGAGAAGATCAAAGGGGTCTATGAGCATGGCGCTGAATGTCACATCACCTCTGATGGTCTTGTCTATAATGGTATTTCGTCACACGAGCTCCCAAATCCGCACTTTGCTGATTCGTGCAGATCTTCTCGGTGTGAGTGACGAAACGGTATGGAACTTTGGACAAGGCGTGCGCGAGATAGCCGCAAGTAACAAGCTACACAATCTCAGCTTCCTGCGACTTTGGGATATTCTCGAGTATGCTGGCGATTTCCAGTCCAAGGAATACTATCTCGAGCACGCATCCAGCATCCGCAAAGAACTGAAGCGGCGATATGGAGACGCAAAGTTTGAGGCTGACATGGCCAACACGAGTACGAGCGACATGCAAATGACGCACACCAAGTACCTCGAATTTTTGCAGCAGGATCTGGCGCTGAATGAGAGACATCTCGCCCTTTCTCCAGAGGACCAGGCTGCAAATATTGCCAATACCGCCAAGGAGATGATGGGTCGCTGGAAAGCCTTCTCTGCGGCCATGGCTGCTGTGCCCGCACAGTATGTTCGTCTGTCCATTCATGATTCCGGGGGCAAAGATAAGCTCTCCATGGCGATCGTTCCGCAGCAAGAAAAGGGTGCTCTGGGCGCGACGCCTTGGCATTCGACGCTGGTCATCGAGGCCGATGGGTCTATGCGCACTGTGCAGCGGTGCAAGGTGGATGCGACCCAGTATCGTCTTGTGTATCGCAACGGACAGCCGTATTGTTTTTGCGCAGGGGCATCAGGCACTCAGGGGTTGAGCCAGACATTCGAAGAGCTGTATCCCAGTGGGCTTACGATCCGAGACCGGAGAGCAGTGTCTGCATGAGCTGGCAGAGCGGGAGTGGATGCATGGGACAGAGTACAAGGTCGGTAGAGAGTGGGGGAGGGGAGGGGCAAGGCATGGGCAAGGCGTTAGCAAGGCATTCCTAGATGCAAAGCCGGTAGCCAAACGGGGTGCGCGCAGGAGGGCGAGGGCAAGGTTTGGCAGGCTAAAATGCGGCGAGCAAGGCCGACTTTAATCCTTCTGTGATGGTACGAGTATGATGCGCCGTGTCGCCAGAAGCGTGCCTAGCTGGCATGCGAAACAGCGGAGACGAACAGGCGGCTGCAACGAGCGAGGCTGCGAGAGGGGCGGTGCAGCCCAGCCAAGCAAGTGGGTGTGTGTGAAGAAGACGGCTCCCCTGTTTTTCCAGACTCGGGACGCTGCAGATCGGTCGATGAGCATCAGCGGGCCAATGGTGTGGAGTCATGGATTGCCGGTGCTGCTGGTGGGAGCCGACGGCTGCCAGCTGGCCGTGGGCGCCTTGCTGCTCAACCGCCAGCAGCCATGGCCGCGGGCCGTGGTGAAGACGGGCGGGTGTGCGGGTGCGCGGTGGTGGTGGTGCGGTGGTGCGGTGAGGCTGGGCGTGGGGTTTTGTCGCCGTGAAGGTGAAGGTAAAATCGATCGTCGTCATTGTGGGCGAGGGCCCTGGCAGGGCTGCATCGGAAATCTCGGAACGCAGCCGATCGGAAGCGGCTTGGCACCGCCGGGCTGCATGAGCATCTGCGATTGCATGCGTCCCATGTGGGTACGGATGGGTGTCGGTGTCAGTGCCAGTGCCAGTGCCAGTGCTGGTGCGGGTGCCACTTGGGGCCCGACAAAAGCGCCGGCCCATCGATAGCAAATTATATCACATGGCAGCCGGCCTGAGGACTTGCGGCTCCATCTTTGCCAGCCCCCCCGTTTCCCATGAGCATGTCACTGCGACTCCCTTCATCCACCTCCGTCCCGTGCAGATGCTAACCCCGCCGCCAGACGAAGGAGGCCTCAATGCCCCGTTGAACGCCCAGCAAGACGACGCATGCGACTGGACCGCCGCCCTGCCCCAGACGGACCATATCCGCTTCTTCCAAAACACCGACTGGTCGCAAACCTGCCTGGGACCGCTGAACACGTGGAGCCCGTCGCTGCGCCTGTTTACCAGCTATGTGCTGGCCGAATCCCGCGCAGCGTGTCTGTGGTGGGGAGATGTCTCGAGTCTGACGGCCATATACAATGAGAGCTATGCGCCTCTGGCCGCCGGCCTGCACCCTGGCCTCATGGGATCCCTCTTCCAGGACGGCTATCCAGATCTCTGGCCAACCATCGGCCCCTATTTCGAACAGGCAAAGAGAACCGGTACCGGTGTCAGCTACAGCTCCGCTGCTTCTACCCTCGTCGAGCGCAAGGGCTATCGGGAAGAGGCCTTCTTCTCGGGCGGCTTTGCGCCGGTAGGCATGCCAGGCGCGATTGAAGGCTACATCAACAGCGTGTGAGTGTCTTGGCTCGTGTGAAACCCATCTTCGGCCCTAGATGCAGAGCTGACATGCTTCACAGTTACGAAGTCACGAGCCAGAAACTCGCCGACCGTCGCACCAGCTGCCTGAATAAGCTTGCATCTGTGGCTCTTCAGTCTACCGACGCCGTCTGCTCTCACATCCTCGCCACACTCGAGCTCAATGCCAACGATGTGCCCCTAGCCATGCTGTACAAGATGGATCAAGAGCCAGGCTCAAATCTGCTGAAGCTGCACGGACAAATGGGGCTTCCCGAAGGTCACCCCCTCATCGTCAACTCAGCAACAATCGACTGTGAGGAAGGCCTCATCCCGGATATGCGGCGAGCCGGCACAGATACAACCACAATCGACTACGATGAGCGCTTCTCATCTGCCTCGTGGAAAGGCTGGGGCGCACCGTCACAGAAGATTGTCTTCATACCCATCATGTGCGGTGTGCGTCTTTTTGGCTACCTCATCGTTGGCACAAATCCCTATCGTCCACATGATGAAGTTTGCGAGCAATTCATTCGAGACCTCAGTCGCATGGTGTCGAGTATCATTACCTCTGCGGCAGATTCCGAAATGAACAAAAAGCGCCAAGTCCAGCTCGAAGCGGACCTCGCTTTTAGCGACCTTAAGCTACGCCATCTCATCGACCATGCATCCGTAGGCATGTGCCATGTTTCACTTGATGGATGTATGCTCTGGGCAAATGATCACTACTACGAATTAGCTGGTAAATCCCCGACAGAGCATACAACCAGCCTCGCCTTCCTCGATGCATACCATGAGGACGATCGCGCAAAAGCAGAAGAAATTTGGGATCGTTTGATCAACGGTGTGGACCACATCACTGCCGATCTGCGCTTGAAGCGATTGTATACGCCTCCAACCGGTGACCCGGAACCAGCCCAACTTCAAGTCCTCGCGTTTCCATACCGCAATGAACATGGCAGTGTCATGAGCGTCATGGCTTGCACTACAGACATCAGCCGGTTATGCTGGGCAAAAACATTCCAGGCTCGATTGGCTCGTGAAGCTAGGGAAGCAAAACGACAGCAAGAAGCTTTCATTGACGTTGTGTCTCACGAGATGCGGAATCCGCTTAGTGCTATTGTACACTGTGCAGATGCAATCGCAAACGCCGTGGAAGAATGCCAGACACAAATTGCCGATATACCCAAACCGTGCCTCGATGTCCTCAATGACAACATACAAAGTGCCAACATCATTATACAGTGTGCAAACCATCAGCGGCGTATCATTGACGACGTGCTTACCCTCAGCAAGCTGGACTCTATGCTGCTATCGATAACACCGGTCCCCGTCAAACCTGCAAAGCTCGTGGATTCTGTCATCAACATCTTTGAAGCCGAGCTAAAGACGCACAAGATCGCCTACAGCATAACGCCAGATCCGTCCATCCTGGATTTCAACATTGAATATCTCTATTACGATCCGTCACGAGTGACACAGATCTTTATCAACCTGCTTACAAATGCGATCAAGTTTGTCAAGCCATCCAAAAATCCGGCCATCTCGATTCGTTACGGTGCCAGTAAATCAGCACCACGGACTCTGTTTCCCGCCAATATGTTCTGGGCGACCGATGGCAAAGACTACGGAGACGTTACAAGCACCCCAGATTGGGGCAAGGGCGAAGAAATATATCTTGGCTTCAGCGTGCAAGACTCCGGAATTGGACTACAAGAGAAAGAGATTCACAAGATTTTTGAACGTTTCAGACAGGCGAATGTAAAGACGCATGTCAATTACGGGGGGAGTGGCCTGGGTTTGTTCATCTCCAAAGAGCTTACAGAGAAGCAGGGAGGTGGGATTGGAGTTGCTTCCGTCTCGGGCGAGGGCTCGACATTTGGATTTTACGTCAAGACGAGAAGAGCAGAACGCAAACTCAAGAAACCCAAGGAGATTTTCTGGAAAGCCGGGGATCACAAGCCCATATCCATGCCACTACGAGTTTTACTGGTGGAAGACAATATCATCAACCAGCAAGTTCTTGGTAAACAGCTTAAGAAAGCTGGTTGTTGTGTCAATGTGGCGAATCATGGCCTCGAAGCACTCGAAATCTTGAATCAAAAGACTTTTGACATTGTGCTGATGGACTTGGAAATGCCAGTGCTTGACGGCCTGGAAGCAATGCGTAGAGTCCGGCAGAAAGAAGCGGATGAAGGTCATTTTACAAGACTCCCTATCATTGCTGTTACAGCAAACGTGCGGAAAGAGCAAATCGAGGCAGCCATGATTGCTGGCGCGGATCGCGTTATGCAGAAGCCTTTCAAAGCCGCCGATCTCGTATTTATGATGAAGTCGTTGGTACCAGAACTAGCGCCTTCTTCAATTGATCCACCAACACCAGGACTAGCGATTCGGTCAAATGCGTTAGTACCTTGAGTATTGGATCATATCCACGGAATCTCTGAGGGAACCAATGGCTCTGAAGACAGATGTGTTCGATTTTGCCATCTGCTGGACAGTTCAGAGCTTCGGCCTAGGTTTCTTGTAACCTTTGATATCCCTACTGGAAACCCGGTTGCCGTATCCCTACACCCTGTTGTTTCGGGTAGACAGCCTTAACATAAACCAAGTGGTGGGGATTGAAAAGGTATGTAATTGCTCACTCTCATACACACGACGGCAGCGTCATAGCAAGCGTTTGGGCAGGACAGTACACGTAATTCGGTAGCACAGGAGACTGCAGTATCTCGGAGTCGAAAAAGTTTCCAGACGAGTCACGATATCCTGAGGTTTTGTGTCACTGAAACAAGCGCTCCCCAGCAGGATTGTTCAGTGGTTGCGAAATACACCAACTGACCCCAGTAGACTGGCATCTTAGGAAAAGCATCGGTAAAGAGGAAGAAGACGATGACATAGTAGTAATTGATATTATGATACATAGTATGAATGTTACATAGACAATGAGTTCATTCAAGCAACTGATTTCATTGCTCAATGACCTGCTCCAACAAGAAAAGTTGCCATTTATCTCGTGCATGCGCTATGGCTGTTCATACGAAAGGCGGATGATGCACGAGCCATTGTTCGCTAAGTAACCAGGGCGGCGCGTCGCGTCGCGTCTTCCCGATCCGTCCACCTACACCATTTTCATCCGGTAGCCACTGCAACCTCCTGTATATTCATCTCGTAGCCGTCGCTGCGAACAAGATTTCTCTGTACGCATATCTTGTGCGCACTCAAAAGCCCTTCATGGCCCGTCAAATATCAGCAGAGGAATTCCAAGAATTGGGTCGCAATTACTACAAACTCAAGCAATATGACAAGGCACTAGAGACATTTACAAAGGGCATTGAAACCTGTCAAAAGCCTTCTCTCGGCCTGTATGACTACCGAGCTGCCACTTATGATAAGTTGGAAAAGTATGCCGAAGCCGTCAAGGATGGACGGGAGATGATTAGGATGAATAAAAAAGATGTCAAGGGATACTTGAGGACAGCGAATGTGCTGGAGAAGATGGGAAAGGAAGAAACGGCCCTGGGAATCTACAAGTATGGAATGAAGAATTTAGGGGCTCAAGATGGGAATTTCAAGGCATGTATCCTCTTCATCTGCACTTTTTTTCTTTTTCTAGTTCGATCATTATGCCCTGACAATCTTGGATATGAGCCTACACATTGTCGCTGACTTTGTAACTAGCTTCTTCAACAATTACACGACAAACTCACTCGCAAGCTTTCACCATCAGCAGCCATCGACCCCTTTACCGTCTTACCCGTAGAGCTGGCGGAAATGATCCTTGAGTATCTCTCTTTCCGCCAAATGGTCAACTGCATGCGTGTCAGCAAAGGCTGGCGCGACTACCTGTCCAAACTACCCAAACTATGGCTGCATCTCGATCTATCGGGCGCGCGCCGTCCCGTCCCCCGTTCCTTTGCCAACACGGCCCTGAGGAACTCAGAGCTGCGCATGACGCGCGTTACCATCCACCGCTTCGAGCACATGGATGTACTCCGGAACCTGGCAAAAGCCGCCAAACACCTTTCGGAAATCGAAATGCTATCGCTGCCGCACACCATGTCGGCAACGCTAATCAACGTGGTCAAGAACAGTCCTAAACTGAAAAAGTTTGTCGTACATGCGGAAATCACGGCGGATAGCGTAGAGCACATTTTTCAATCGCAGCCCGCATTGGAACATGCGGCTTTCCATGCAATCTTGCCCCCCGCGTACACTATGAAGTGGACCGAGACGCTTACTCATCTCCACACGCTCAGCCTGTCCTTTGTCAAGACGGCCAGTGAGATGCCCATAGGGATAGCCAAGCTTCTCAGTCTGGCCCCTGCGCTTCGATCCCTCTCGCTCTGCAACATAAGTGCCTTCCACGGATTTGGAGGCCGAGGCTGGCCACAGGACGCATCTCAACTCCCACGACTCACGACGCTCATTTTGAAACGTATAAACTTTGGCCGGTTTCCCGCACTACCAAGCACACTGCAGCGTCTCGTGCTTGAAAACGACGGCGGCACACTAACGCGCGAGGGAAGCGATGCTGCGTGGGCGCACACGCCTTTGCCCGACCTCACACACCTGTCGCTATCTGGGTTTTCGATAGGCCCACAGAGACTCGAGGCGCTGCTGGATTTCTACGTTGAAGATGACGGCACTCTCAAGTCTGTTGCAGATGCTAAGCCTCTGCAGCATCTCTCTCTCCGCTGCCTGATAGACTCGTCTACAAGGACCGTATCTGATGGGCCTGACAGCCTCTTGGGTTGCTCCCCGCGTCTTCTCACGCCTGCTCTGGAGTTCTTGGATATCGGCACCATGCCGTGTACCGACGATGATGTCGACCACCTTGTTACGCATGAAACGGGTCTCGAGATTATTGATCTGTCGAATACGAACATCACGGGTGCGTCTATAAAGATGCTGGCGGATAGACTAGCCTCGCTCAAGCGCATCAGGGCAGACAATTGCACGCGGATCAGTGGTCGCGATGCAATAGGTTATGCGGAGCGGAAGGGCATCGCTGTGAGTTATCAGATGGGTGAGCAGAAAGGTGAGCGCAGGGTTCGATATGGCTAGAAAATGACCATACAGTATACTTTCATGGTTGCTGGAATAACGGTGTAATATTTATGCAATCATGTTATCGTACGTAAACCGCTAAAAAAAGGATCCAAAACCAGATATTAAAGAGAAACACCCATTCTCAAAAGAGTCCTTGGGAGCCCCTCTGTGCAATGCATATATCAGACAATGGCAGAACGCCATTTTCCCATATTGCCCCTTTTGAAGAACCAGCGCCGCGCAATGATGCTCAAGAAAAGGAAAAGGACAAAGAGGAAAAGCAAAGGAAATAAGTAGAACGTCAACCATGAAAAGTCACCGGGTCTTTCGCCTCGTCGCAATCTCAGTTGACGTCCATACCTTCGTCTTCCCCCTCCTCAATATCATCATCCTCACCAGCAGTCAACACGCCCGCACTGCCTAGGCTGCGTTTGCGATTACTGTTGAATGAGCGACCAGAAATCTGGGTCAGCAGATCCAGATCTTCCCCGCCAATGACGCGCGATTCGGGTGTAGCTTCACAACTTAGTTCAATAAGACTTGCAGGACTGAGGTTGCGGTAGCCTGCGGTGCGGACGACTCGGCCAAAATTCTGCATACAGAAAGCAGCCGCACGTTGCTTGAGCCAATCCTCACCAGCTGTGGCAGCGCGCTCCCATATTATGGCAGCATGCTCAATGTCTAGCTCTCGACCAAGACGATTGACGCAAAGTAGGCGCAGACGTGGCATGTCATAAATGTTGGACATGACAAGCATGCCCGCAACGTCGTTGAGCGTAGGTCCGTTTTGTGGGTTTGGCGCAATGCTGTCTGTGTAGAGATAAAACAAGAAGGCGCGTACAGCAGAATACGGCTCAGGAATGTGCATCTTCTTAGAGTGGAACTCGGCCATTTGTGCGCTCCATAGGCGAGCAAAATGCGGCCAGCGAGCATGCAGAATGAGCTTGTGAACATGGATTGGGCGTGAAGCCGGCGCCACAGCAGTGGATGAGCCGTTGGCGTCGGGAACGTCGCTATAGTCATCGTCGTCAGGGTCTGCCGTGATGATGAAGTCTGCACCACTGCCGCTCTCAGGGGGCTGGTCGAACGTCAGAGATAGGTCCGCGCCAATACCGCTGAGGTGGGACGAGACGTTGGCATCAGAAGAAGGCATCATCTTGGACCGGGTATCTGAGGCCAATTCGTTGCCTAATATGCCGTATTTGCGAAGGTCGATGGCAAGGACGTCGCTCAAATATTCGCCGTTGTGGTTTCCATCGTTTGCGGATTCAATCGGACTACCCAGCAACCAGGCGTGCGTACCTTCGGGGTTCATCGTGCAATAGTGCCAGCGGTAGTTGGGGCTGTACAGATCCTTCCCTTCTGCTAGCTTTTGCCATCGCAATGTGTCTAGCTCCAGGCTGGATAGGCTTGTCTCACAGCTCAGTTCTGCAGGCGTAACGAAGTCCAGCATGCACCCCGACGAGAAGAGGTGAAAGTGCGTGCCGGCCGCTTGTGACGGGAGGTTTGGGCTAGAGTGGAACTTGAGCGAAGAAATGGATCCAGGTGCAACGTAGGGTGCACGGCTAGAACTCATGCCATGATAAGACTGAACGCTCGAGTTGGCGGTATAGCCTGTGCTGCCAGTCGCGAGTTGGCCTGAAGCTGGCACAGGGTAGCGATGGCGAGATGAGACGAGTTGTCGATCGACAGTGCCGTACTTCATGGCATGCTCGAATTCCGGACTGCCGCGGAGATCAAGCCACCAAATCTCATTATTTTTCTCCATCTCATCATTAATACCACCAAAAATCCAGATGCGACCGTTCCAGATCCAGCTGGCATGATCGTAGCGAGGCACAAATCTCCACGTTCGCGACCAGGTCCATGTCTTGAGATCGAGGTAGCAGATGTCGTCCAGCACACTATCATGTCCAGTCTGGCCACCGCTAATGTAAAGCTTGTCGTCATAGATTACTGCAGAATGTCGAGCTCGGCCACGTGGTATTGGTCCGTGTAGTTCCGGTTGCGTCCAATGTGCGGTTTTGAGATCGAAAACAATGACGTCGGCCAAATGCTGGCGATGTTCGTTCTCACCGCCGAATACGAGAAGTTTATTGCCCTGCCAGAGACACGCGGTATGCCCTAAACCAACATGTAAGCCAATACCCCCTATGAAAGTAGGGTGAAGAGCCTACCCATGCGTACACCTGGGATATCGCCATAGTTGTCGACCAGGTTCCATTGCCGGGTCACTAGGTTGAGCCGGAGGACATGGTTGTATACTGGGGGAAAAAGTCAGCACATGGTCGCTATGCTTGGGTGCAGTCCAACGCCAAATATCACAGCGTGTTCAGAAACCTCAGGCCACCAGAAGGCACATGGTGCGGGAGATATATGATGCGTTGACGGCGAGTCCCTCCCGCACCGCCTTTTTGACGAGCTGGCGTTACCTGAAGGGTACCAAAGCTCGCAAACCCAAAAGACTTTTGCCGTGGGCAATGCCAACAACACGTCACGCACCTTCATCTGTATATTGGTCGAAACCACCAAAAGCGTATATTTGATCGTCGCCAACGTACGTGACGGACGCATTGACGAGACAGGCAGGCTTGGCACCAATGGTTGAGATCATCTTGGGCTTGTAGCCGTCAGCGGCCGACCGCCGGTTTCGCACCGGGCTTGCAGACATGAGGAAGGTGTTGTTGCTCGATGCGGCAGACGCAGGCGTAGTCGTGTGCGAGTGCGAGTGGGAGAGGGTGGCTGAAGGAGTGGCGGTGGTGGCGGGGGCGCGGGTGGTGGACGGAAAGGCGGATCGAGCGACTGGTTGGGCCATTGATGTGAGCGGAGAGTGGTGAGAGGTGAGAGCGTGGTGGGAGCCCGCGTGGGTAGGTGAGGCCTTTGTCTCTGGGGTGCTAGAATGTTTGACCCAGTTGAGCTGGCTGGCCGTGCATACTGCCGCCCGACACCGCCCGTGCTGGAACTGGAAGCGGAAGCGGAGGCGCCGGCCCACGCACGATGCGACTCAGCCCTGCAACCCACGACGGCAAGAGTGACGATGCAGACGGGCCTTTTGGCGGCAGCGCAAGCAGCGCAGGACTGGTTGTGCAGGCGCGCGAGGGAGTGGCGGTGTCAGCAAGCGTGCAGAGTGCGGCAGAGGCAGAGGCAGAGGCAGAGGCAGGCGGGCAGAAAGGGCGAAGGGGCGCGGCGGTGCAATTTCAGCACGAGATTTGAGGGGATGCGTGGCAAGCAAGCAAGCAACACCATGACATGACATGACACGCCTGCATGGATGCCTGCATGCACACTCGGCCAGTCTTATGCTGCTATGTGCATGTGTGTGCATTCGCTGTCATCATGCCGGCCGGTCATGTGATGTCATCGCGCCTCCGTTGCCCAGCCGCGCGCGCACAAGCAGCCGTGCGAGCTCAGGGTCTCGGCTGCCGTTGCCTCGCCAACCCAGGCGTAAACAATGGCTACTTAAACGCCTCCATACCTGCCACTCCTACCTGTCCACAACCATCCACTCACCCTCTCCCTGCACACACACACCCACACGCAATTACTTTCGAATCAATACTCCAGCGCATCGATTACACCATTGCCTAATACTAATCCTTAGACCATCCAGCAGATTTAACAGCCCATCCTGTATGACTATCTCGTGCCCGACGGCGACTGGACGCATTTGGCTAACACTAATCCAGCTTGAGAACAGCCGCCATGGCAACTCCAGCAGTTTGCTTGACTCCGGTCAAGAAGACGTCCTCCGTCTTCAACACCCGCACCGCTGGCGGTCGCATGCCACTGACTCCCTCTCCCCGCACCCCGCGAACACAGACTCCCGATGTGCAGGCACAAGAGTCTATTCACGGCGGCAGCTTCATGTCCCGGCTGCAGCGCTCCGTCACCAAGACTACCCGTGACTCGCCCAAGTCCAACATTGCTCGCTCCCACACTCCTCGCCGGCTAGAGCTTGGTGTATCCGAATGGTCCCTCTCTGGAACTGGCTCTGCCCCCGCCCCCAAGGCCACAGCCAAGACCACAACCAAGACTACCACCAAGGCAAAGAAGGAGAAGAAGGATACGGCTGTTCGCGCCCGTCCTACCAAGACCCGCATCGCATACAACTCGGCAGACCGTTTCATCCCCAACCGCACAGCAAGCGAGGCCATCCGCAGCACCGGCACAGCCAAGCTCGACAACGAACAGCGGCCCAAGTCGAGCTCCAAGTCCGAGGGATCAACAGTGCTCGCCAACGCCGCGAGTGCTTTCGATCTTGGTGGCCGTGGTTCTGAGGAGGATGTTACCCTTTCCCTAGAGGGACTCACACTTGACGACGAAGAAGAGGAAGGCCGAACACGCTCCAAGCCAACCCCTGGAAAGGCTGCCTACCAATCCGAGCTCGCATCTGCCTGTGGCATCAACAACAACACACGCATTCTTGCTTTCAAGCCTGCGCCCCCAGAGTCATCCAAGCCTATTGACCTCCGCTCCCAATACAACCGTCCTCTCAAGCCCGCCAGCAGTGTCAATGCGCAGAACCGCCGACGCATCCCCTCAGCACCTGAGCGTGTCCTCGATGCTCCTGGTCTTGTCGATGATTACTACCTCAACCTCCTTGACTGGTCCTCTGGTAACCAAGTTGCCATCGGCCTCGAGCGCTCTGTCTACGTCTGGTCGGCCGACACTGGCTCAGTAGCTTCGCTGCTCGAGTGTCCCGCTGATACCTACATCTCTTCCGTCAAGTGGTCTGGTGACGGCGCCTACGTTGGCGTCGGTCTCGGCACGGGTGAGGTTCAGATTTGGGACGTTGAGGAGCAGACCAAGCTCCGTAGCATGTTTGGCCACGAGACCCGCGTTGGTGTTATGGGATGGAACAAGCACATTCTCTCGACAGGCGCTCGCTCTGGCCTCGTCTACAACCACGACGTTCGCGTTGCCCAGCACAAGATTGCTGAGCTTGTCTCCCACACTGGTGAGGTTTGCGGCCTCGAGTGGCGCGCCGACGGTGCCCAGCTCGCCACTGGCGCCAACGACAACATGGTCAACATTTGGGATGCTCGCGCTCTTGCTGCACCCAAATTCACCAAGACCAACCACCGTGCTGCCGTCAAGGCCGTGTCATGGTGCCCATGGCAATCAAACCTGCTTGCCACTGGCGGTGGTTCCAACGACCGTCAGATCTACTTCTGGAACACGACGACTGGTGCTCGCATCAACCACATCCCCACCGACTCACAGGTCACCAGCCTTCGCTGGAGCACACACTACAAGGAGATTGTCAGCACTGGTGGCTTCCCTGACAACAGCTTGAGCATCTGGAGCTACCCCTCTGGTGTCAAGAACATGGAGGTTCCCGCTCACGAGTCTCGCGTTCTCCACAGCTGTCTCAGCCCCGATGGCCAGATGCTCGCCACTGCTGCCGCTGACGAGTCGCTCAAGTTCTGGAAGATCTTTGAGAAGAAGCCCGGCCAGCCTTCAGTCGCTGCTGCTGGCTCTGCTTCGACAAAGCCCAGCGTCGTCAAGCAGATGACGATCCGATAGATACCACACAAGAGTTGAAAGTGGGGTTGCACATGGGGCGTGCAGCTGCAGACGGAGCAGTTGGCTCAGCAGAAAGGTCTAGTACAGACATGACAACTACCCGGTTTGCGCAACGAAGCTGGTATCCTTTATCCGACTGTACGCGCAACGGTAAGTTGGTAAGTATCACATCTCAGTTTGGGTATGTGACGCGCTCCTTGCTCTTGAGTAAGAGAAGGAACTCCACATGGACCCTCTGAATTCTTGTCAATTATAGGGCTGTGGTCCCAATTCATGGCTTTGGTGTCCGAATTCAGCAAGCGAGGCGTCTCGGAAGGCATTTGCAATGGCGTTGAGAAATTTAGAAGAGGCTTTTCGAGCGCCGTATGGACAAGGCGAAGTTTATGATTTACGATACCCATTGGGACTCAGGGAACGAACCGGCTCAGTCTTATACATGGTTCGAGGGAGTTTGTAGTGATTGGACGCAATGCGCATGTAGCGCTTGGGTGGGCTGGGGTGTATATTATGGCGTAGAGCAGGCGTTGGTTATGTTGGATACAATAAGATTTTTTTTAAAATATTTTGAGCGTGTTAGATGGGGTGATTGGGGGATGAATGAGGGTGCGAGAGAGTAAGTGGGAGAAGAGACTAGTCCTAGGAGGGGATAGTTGAGCAGCTAATGGCAGTGGGTAAGTGCGCTAAGTCTTTTGAGGCAATATGTCGTGCAGACAGGGCGGTGCCAAGGCGGCATCCAAGCGTCTAGGAAAAACGGTTTCGTGTATATATGATGGGCTGCATGACCCAAGTGCAAACCGTCACTTTGAGTCTACAAGCAAGACACCAAACGTCTAGTCAGGAAGAATATGAATTGCTCGGTTGTTGAGTGGGACTGGATAAATGGAAGGTGGGTATCTTTTTGCACACTAAGTACTGATTATAACTGGCTAGACATGACATTTTTTTTTCTTCTAAAGAAAACATCAAACAACAAACATGGACATGAAGAAGGGTCTCGTCTTGGGGCGCATTTCCTCATAGCTCCAGTCTAAGAGCCTGAACTGAACTTGGCCTGGTCCACAATGACGAGACCGGCAACCGACGCACTGGAAAGCGTGGAAAAGACACCTGTGACGAGAGCCGAGACCGCAACACGAGAGACGTCACCGCTGCGGCCAGGGCTGATTTGGCTGAGCACACCAATCTGGGTGCCGAGAGAGCCAATGTTACCGAAACCGCAGAGAGCGTACGTGGCGATGACACGAGAGCGAGGCGACAGAGAGTGGTAGGGAGACGCGGGGTCCTTGCTGACAAGCGACGAGAAGGCGACGAATTCGTTGGTGATGACCTTGACACCAATCAGACGGCCGACAAGGAGCAGATCGTTGCCCTCGCGAGATACACCGAGGAGGAAGGCAATGGGGTAGAAGACGTAACCGAGGATCAGCTCCAGCGTCAAGTCGTAGTCACCGTCGAGGTTGATGTAGCGGCCCCACCAGGTCAGAAGTCCGTCAACCAAGTTCAACAGAGCAATGATACACAGGAGCGTGGCAACAATCATGCCGGCAATCTTGAGACCGAGCCAAGCGCCATTGGCAAAAGCGTGGAGGGCGTTGGCAGGCCTGTCTTCGTTGTCTTCGGGGACAACGACGCGGCCGGCGGTCAGAGTCTCCTCGGTCTCGGGGTATCGCAGCTTGCTGAAGGCCAGGGAGGCGGGAATGCTCATGACGCAGGAAGAAATCAGGGCCTGGGGGTTGAGACCCATTCCAATGTAGGCGACCAAGACACTACCAGCAATGGTAGCGAATCCAGAGCACATGACCTGGTGGATTTCGGCCATGGTAAGATGGGGAACAAAGGGCTTGATCAACATGGCGGATTCACCCTGGCCGATGAAGGGAGAGGCCGAAGCGACAACGGCCTCGGCGCCCGAGACGCGCATGGACCAGAAGAAGAAGACGGCAAACTTGCCAATGAACCACTGCAGGACACCGCAGTAGTACAGGAGCTGGACAATGGACACGAAGAAGATGATGGCGGGGATGACGGTAATCAAGAACCAGGTGAGTTCGGACGTGGGCGCCGTGGTCAGGAATGCAACACCGTCCTTTGCGAAGCCCAGCAGGTCACGTGCGAGTTCCGAGATGAAGTTGAAGATGTCGTAACCAGCCTTTGTGCGGAGGACAAAGAGGGCGATGATGAACTGCATGAGCATGCCGACAATGACGGTGTGCCAGACAATCTTGCTGCGTTGGTGCGAAGTGGCCCAGAAGACAACAATGAAGACGAGGAGGCCAAAGAGCGAGACGGCGCGGTTGGCGCGCGTGTTGTCCTGGCTTTCCTCGCTGGCAAAGGAGCCGACAATCATGACGGCAACGACGAGCAGACCGGCGGCCGGGATGCGCATCTTCTCTGGGATGAGGTTTGCAAAGTGGGTGCCGGTGTTTGCCCAGACCCAGTGCATGGGCTTGGTGACGACGGTAATGGGGATGTGGAGGGTGATGAGGCGGATCATGATTGCCAGCCAGAACAAGAACGGGATGATCCAGTTCTTGTCATGGCGATGGACGACAAGACTGGCAATCCACCATCTGAGGTTGTCAGCCCGGCATGCGCAGAGACGAGCAAGGGGACTCGGAGCTGTGCGCCTTACCCAGTGAAGAGAGCACCAATGAAGATGTGGACAGGCAGCCTGAAGCGCCTGTAGAGCATCGAGAGCGAATAGGGCGACTTCTTCCTGTCGGCCTCGAGGCCCTGGTCCGACGAGGCGCCGGTGGCCTTTTCGACCTCGTAGTCGAAGCCGCCCGCCTTGTGGTCGAGGGCATGCTTGTCGTCGGCTGGCGGGCTGGGAGTGAAGAGCTCGCCAGGCTTGTCGTCGGCGACGGGTGCCGAGTAGACAATGTTGTCCGGGGGGTGGTTGGGGATGGCGGCCATGGCAACGAGAGGGCACTGGGTGAGCAGAGAGGTGCGGCGGTGTCTCTCTGTCTCTCTGTCTCTCTCTTTTTCTCTCTCTCCGGCAGGCAGGCAGTCAGTCAGTCAGTCGCTCTCGCTCCCTCGCCGCTGCGCCGGCCAGGGCGGGAAATATATTTTCGCACCGTGGCTCGCGCTACGGCCGATGTGGAGAGATTCGCAGCGTCGGTGGCCCAGACATGGCGTGTAGAGGCAGGGCGGCGGTCCCACCGAGGGCCTTGGCAACTGCCTGTTTGGACAAGGTCGCCGCCGTGCGCACGCGCGCTGGATTGGCTGCCCGCCGTGTGGCCTTTCTAGAAAGCAGCCGGCGGTGGTCCGTGCAGTTCCGGCCGCCTGTCTGCGTCGTCTGCGTCGTCTGCGTCTGTCCAGCTTCTTATCGTTCCCCCGCCCAATCACGCCCGCTAACGTGCGCGCTGCTGCTGCCCCCGTGATAAGCGGCGGCGAATATGCGCCCCTCGTCGGTTGAGGCGCCCGATTAGGCGGCGCTGCACAAACCACCATCGTCTTCCCCGAGCTGCTACTACGGTGTACTGCCACTGCTACCCATTTCCCGGAGCCATGGCACCCACACGCGCCATCCACAGCGCCAGAAGCAACCGCCGCCCTGCTGCTGTGTTGCACCACCAGAGCAAAAACAACTGCTCGCACCGCCCCAGCCACTCGCCCGCACCCGCACCCGCACTCGCCCTCGCCAGCAGTCTTCCACGAGCCTCATGCAGATCCATACCCCCCCCGCTACCACGGCCACGCCCATGTGACGCCACCTGACCAGTGCTTTGCCTCGTCCCTATCACCACCGTCGCCATAGCCCGTACATGCCCGGCGAGTGCTTACACCTATGGCCACGGTCAGACATCGCGAGCGCCTCCATCCGCAAGCGTGCCATTCGCATTGCGCCAAGTTATCTCCTCGGCCACTCTCAGTCGCCAGGCCCATGTCCAGCACCCGATGGCCAGGTCCGCACTAAGCACATTGGCCTCCCGTGCAGATGATTACACCTGGGGTTCCTTATCACTCTCCCATTTTACGGTATAACCGCCGAACGCTTGTGACGGACTTCGCCTGCCTTTGCACCTTGCCATAGACGCTGGCTGGCCTAACGACGCGCTTGCGACCAACTGTCGCCAGAGAGAGGGATCCGCGGCCTGCTTCTGCCGCTTAGCTCCATCCTTTCCCCGCAGCCCACCCAACTCGATGCGGTAGTTCGTCGTGTGGGTGCGTTCCCGACAGTATTGTTGTATGCAATGCCAACACAAGACGCTGTGTGCTGAACAATGGCACGGCCTGTCAAGCAGCCTACTGTTGGACACTCTCACAATCACCCCAGCATGCAAACTCAATTCCACCCGGCCAAGCAATCGTCACCCTGGAACATCTTCGGCAAAATCACCCCCCGCGATTCGCCCGTGCTTGTAACGGCTTGTTCCTTTCCGGTTACAATTTACAGTACATAATAGCGACGTCTGGCCGGGCCGGGCTAATGCAGTCTGCATTGTGATAACGGGAAGCGCATGGCCCTCTCCTCTGGAACCAAGACAAACGCCCCTGCACAATCACACGTCAAGGCTACATGTGCCGTGCATACGTCGACTCTCCTCACCATTACACCAAGCATCCATTCGCTGTGCTTGGTCACGGCCCAGTATCCAAGGTGACCAGCGGCTGTGATGCTCGTCATCACCCGACAACTTGAACCACCACCAACAAAGGCATTTCCAGCCTCAGTGACTACTACGCTACACGACAACAGGCTACACTCATGCACACAGACCAGCTGCACATGGATTTTCTTTCATTTTCGCCGTCTTTGTTCAAAGAATATCCCACGGCAACACAAACATGTCCCTTGGTTACCGTACGACAATGGGTATATACAAGCCGAATCAACCCAACACCCTGCACCCTACGCCATGCCCCAAATGCCGCTTAACAATAAGACACAAGACAAGACACAATGCAAAACAAGCCCCTTTCTCTTTTGTTTCCATTGCTCCCTCAAGCCCATGCAAACGCCTCTCTTACTTGCCCGCCATTTCACCCTCCAGATGCTGCCATTATGTTAGCAAGATCCTACTACGACGCTTCACAGTGCTCCCATCCATGACTTACCGACCACTCGGGTATTTCGCGTATCCGCTGCCACATGTACCTCTCGAGTCGATTGGCTGCCTTGGCATACGGCGTGCTCTCGTTGTTGTACTTGCGACAGTTGTCAAAGATGAGCTTGGCGTCTCGGATAAAGTCCTCGGGGTTGGGGTACAGGTCCTTTTCGTGCTTCTCCTCCATGGTGGCCAGGTCCATGGGCTCCTTGATGACGTCGTAGTAGTCCAGCACTTCGTCCTTGTTGACGGGCTGCTGGAACGGCCACGCATTGCTGTTGTTCTGCATGTCGTTCAGCAGGTGGAGGAGGGCGTTGTAGTTGGGTCCGTGGCGGGGCGCGCGGGCCAGTTCGTCCATGACAGGCGACCAGCCAGAGTCCTTGATGGCGGGAATGGTAAGGGGATCAATGGGCTTCAGCTCCCCCTTGGCCCATTGAGCTGGTGGCGAGTGCACCTCGTAGCTCTTGCTGACGGCCATAATCTTTGCATTGGCGCACTCCTTTTGCTTCAACAGCATCCTGCCCGACTCGAGGTAGCGTATCTTGGGCACCATGCTACACTGCATAATGGTGCCGCCCTCGTAGTCCTTGATGTAGCCCATCCACCGCGACTTCTCCAGCGTAATCTCCTTGGTGAAGCCTTGTTTCTTGAAGTAGCCGATGGCGTAGTTGTCGGCGTAGGTAAGGAAGTGCATGACTCGCGACGTCGCCTTGACGTAATCCTTCAGATGCGACATGAGATGGGCGCCGTAGCCCTTGACCTGCTGGTCCGACGAGATTGCGCAAAAGACGATTTCGGCAAACTCGCCCTTGTCAAACGGGCGGTAGGTAATGCCTCTGCAGTACACTCGTGTCAGCAGCCCATGCTACATGCGGGGGGAAACAGACAGCCACGTACCCCACGACTTCGAGCGGGTGCTTCACAATGGCGATGCTCAAGTGTGTTCGGTCATAGACAAGGCGGGCAATGTAATCCTTGGGCATCTTAGGCAACTGTTTCTGGAAGATACACTTCAAGCCAGTGAGGATGATGGTGCTCTCGCGCCTCCCGTCATTGTTGACCACCCTGAACTCGATCTCTCCATTGCGCTCCTCGATAACAGCGGGCTTCTCGGGAAACGGCACTATGCGCTTGACGGGCGGGGCGGGCGCGTCGTCGGCCTGGTCAGGCGTCGGCGGGCTGTGCTTGATGCGCTTCGGAGAGCCGCTGGGGGGGTCGGTGGTAGCCTTGCGCTTAGCTTCAACAGCCATAAGGTCAGCTTCATGTTCGCCTACGGCGCTGTCTGGCGACGGGTCACGTGGAGCTGGGACGGGGACGGGGTGAGGCGACGTTGGGGGAGAGGTGGCATAGCCCAGCACGTCGCGCAGATGCGCCATGTTGTTGCGGGGAGAGGATGTGCCGGGCGGGGTGGGCGAGAGGGAGTGCACGCTTACTGTCTTCTGATGCGCCGGCCATGATGCGCAGTTGGGGGCGCCTTCTCGTGTCTTGTCGCGCCTTCACTGGGCCGCTGCTGGCTGGTGGTTGACTGCGAGCGTCGGGGCAGGTCGCGCCTCCCGCCTCCCGCACTGACCGACGGCCCGACAGCCAAGGGCACTACTTGCTGTAAGTAGGCCGAATGCTCACCCTCCCAGAGGCCACCGCACCAGCTTCACCAGATATATTCCCCCCCCCCCAATCCCCCTCCAATTGCACCTCTGCCCAAATGTCGAGCCCGCTGCTAGACGTCTGGGACGCGGCCGCTGCCCAGCCCTTCCACCCGGCCGTCGGAAAGGACACGCAATTCACCGTCGGCTTCGTACTGCTGGCCATATGTACGTCCGCTGGCGAGCCCTTTGCTTGCTTGCATGCCGAGGAACCATGCTAATGATGCGCAGCCCTTGTCCTGACCACCATCTTCGGTCTGAGTATGCGCAACCCATCATCAACCCGTGCTGCACCCGTCTTTACTGACCGGCGCGCGACAGACCGCTCGCTCATCAACCTGCCACTCCTTGGGGTTCCCGCTTCCCTGGCATTCGGGTACGTGGCCTCCACACGGGACGCGCCTCTCTCCGTACTGACGGCGAACAGCTTCGGTTCCGTGTACATGATTTGTGCGGTCGGTGTCTACGTCTAGTTTTCCTGCTTTATCCGTCCGGCGTTAGGGAAGGGCAATCTTGCGTGTACAATTTATCCAATACCAATACAAAGTTCACGACGCTCCAATCTGCCTGCGCTATACACTCCCACCCGCGCCACTACATTCTTAGCATTGCACAACCCCAACCCCCCTCACAGACAGTCATAGGATAGCACCATGGGCGACCAAGCCCCTCCTGTTCTCACGGCCGTGTCGAGCTCAGCGCGCCAGTTGTATCACCTCCTGCGCTGCATTGCCTTCTCCAATAAAGCGCACGTCCAGATTAGCGACCTAGGGCTCAAGCTCGCAGTCGACGAAGCCAGTGTTATGGAGGGTACCTATAATTGCGCTCACTCATCTGCGCTGGCTCCAGACTAACTGCACCACAGCCTCCGCCTTCCTCGACAAGTCCCTCTTTACAACCTACACCTTCAACGCACCCGACCCACCCCAAAGCTCGCAGCACTCGGACAGCGACGACGAATCCGATGAGGCATCTACAGCCACGCCTGCCTTTCAAATCTCCTTGCCGGCCCTTCTCGAAACCCTCCAAATATTTGGCCTTACCGACCCCGCCACATCCAAACCACCATGGGCTCGCGACACGCCCTACCCCTCCAGCACCGCCTTTACCGGCAACAATATAATGGGCGGCATGAACAATCTGTGCAGGATCAACTACCATGGTTCAGGGGCGCCACTAGCAGTCACATTGACAGAAATGAGCATACGCACTCAGTGTGATCTGACGACGTATGAGCCCGAGTACGCCGACGAGATTCCCTTTGACCGCCAGGCGCTTGCCCTCAAGGTCATTATGCGGGGTAGTTGGCTGTACGACGCCGTCCAGGAACTGTCATCTACGAGTCCCGAAAAGCTGACCATGTACGCTAAAAGCGTGCGCGGCAAGCCCTTCTTCGCTCTCTCGTCATCCGGCACCCTGGGCTCGGCGCGCGTCGAATTCAACAACAACCAGCCCCAACGCTCTGCATATCGCACCCCAGCACCTACCCACTTGAACGCAAACACGGACGCGGCCGATCAGTCTTCGGCAAACGTGCTCGAGACGTTTCAGCTCAGCCATGCAGACACGGTGTTCCGCTCGAGCTACAAGTTCAGCTTGATTCAAAAGGCGGCGCGCGCCATGAGCGTCGCCACTAAAGTCAGCGTGCGAGCAGACACGCAGGGGGTGCTGAGTCTGCAATTCATGATTGAGGTCGAGGCGGCTGCTGGTGGAGCATCCGGAGGTGCAAAGGTTAGTTTTGTCGACTTTCGCTTTGTCCCGCTGGTCGAGGACGAGGATGACGATGACGCCGAGGGTGCAAATCTCGACGACACAATCATGCATGATATATCTGCCGGCGATGAAGCCAATGGAGACTGAGAAGACGCTATAGTGTATAGAGTCTGCATCGCGTCACGGAAATTTCACCTCAAGAGACTTCTCTCCTTTGATCCATGCCTTTCTCAAACGTTTTCTGTATTTTTGCTACTCTGTTTTTTGTTTTTTGTAAATTCGACACAAGAGTTCCATGTTCTTGACTGTAGCGACTAGACAGACGATGATAAAATGAAAATAGAAAAAAAGGGGGGAAGGGGAGCATCATAATACACGACGTTCTATTCATGTCGCCCAACCCCGCCAAAGCAGCCGTGGACTTTGTAGTAAATTATCTCCATGGAATTGCCCCTTCGATATGCTGCCCTGCGTGGTCCTATAGTATGTAAGATGAGAGGAAAGGAAAAAAAAAGAAAAGGTACCAAAAAAGGGGGGGAGAGGGAAAGAGCTCGGAAATATTAAAACCATCCATGGAAATTGACGTGTTAGGAGAGGTCGACGAAAATGAATCAAAGCCGATGACGCCTGTGCTGCACCACTGCAAGAGCCAGCTGCACTTTTTCTTCTTCTTCTCTTCCCGTCACCGCTTTTGCAATCAAAAATGTCAACTTGGTATCTTGTCCGCGAACCAATCAAAGTCTTTTTTCGGTGCCCTTTTCGTCAACGCAATAGCCCCAGCTTTTCTCACCCTCTCTCTTTCATCATGCTGCTGCGTACGTTGGACGTGTTTTGTGTTGTTTCTTTCTTTCTTTCTTTCTGTGGGAATTTCTTTCGGGTGTTTACGTGTGTGTAGGTAGTAAGTCGCCAGGCGGTCATGGTATCCAATCTAGGTGTGCCTTTGGCTATCGATGATTCATCTCAGACGCAATGATGATTGCAAAAGGAAAGTAGGAAGATTTGTGAGATGCATATCTTGTTAGTGTACAGTCGTATGTGTACATGTGTGAATGCTGGGCTCGCGTCTTCGATCGTCTTGTGTGTCGTTTGTGCGCTGGACGGGAACGACTTAGAACTCGAGTTCAGCTACCACGGGCATTAGTATGGTTTGCCGAATGATTTACCATTCGAATTCACCATTTGCCTTGTGAAAGAGGTACCTGGATGTTGTGAGCACGCGAACAGCCGATCGTTATGCAGTGTTAGACTTACTCTTTCTTGTTCGTGGTTAGGATGCCGTCCTTGAGCGTGCACTTCCACTTGTTCTTGACACGCTGGACCTTGTCATAGGTACACAGCATGTAATCAACCATGTCGTCGTCGCTGTTGTCACCGTCGTTTAGATCATCCTCTGAATCATCAAGATCCGAGTTGATAGCATCGTCGGGGTCCTCTTCTGGCTTGGCTTCGTCATCGCCATCAAAGCGAGCAGGTGCTGGCACGTGGGTTGAAGCAGCAGCGTCCTCTGCTTGGAGAACACGAACCGCAGCCTTTCGCTTCTTGCCTTTGGGCATCGAGTCGAGAGGCACCATGAGACCGCTATCCTGGCGCATGGCCATGGCATCTACACGGGCACGCATAAAGTCATCGGCTGCCATGCGTTCCACAGCCGTGGCAGCACGTGCAGCCTTGAACGCTTCCCAGTCCGCCAAGGCGTCATCCGGACCATCCGTCTGTGACGTGTACATCTGATTCTGGTGAGGAGGGCGTTGTTGCTGCTGCTGCTGCTGCTGTTGTGGTTGTTGGGGCGGGCGTTGATGTTGCTGCTGCTGCTGCTGTTGCTGCTGTTGCTGCTGTTGCTGCTGTTGCTGCTGTTGCTGTGGGGGCATCATACGCTGCTGCTGCCCTTGCATGGGCATCTGGGGCAAGTGGCCTTGCTGGGCAAGGTTGGGAAAGTTCTGCTGATGCACGTTGCCTTGCTGCTGCACACGCTGCTGGACCAGAGCTGCGGCGCGCTGCTGTGCCAGGTGGGAGTTCTGGTCGTAGCCGCCGCTGTAGCCGTTGCTCGCAGGCTGGGCCTGGGGATAGTTTGCAATGGGCTGCTGGTAGGGCCCCTCGGTTTTGGCGGGCGCGTTGGGAAAGTTGAGTGCGTCCTGGGGGGCGGGGGCGGGAGCCATGTCATTGTCGACCTTGACATTAGAGGGCACCGTGGGGGGCTGGCGGACGGGCTCGGGGGCGGGGTCCCATGGCAGATGGGCAATCTTGAGGGCAGACAGCCTCTCTTGCCAGCCCTGTGCGGGGTTAGCTGGGGCGTCGAGGTGAAAGCAAGCATGGCGGTGCGGACGCTGAGGGCGTCACATGAGGCGCTATGCCGGGTCGGGCAAGGATGCACGGGGCTTGGCGGGTGGGGGAGCTGTGCAGGGGCTATAAGAAGGCGACCCAAATACTGAGGCGCCCCCGAAAAGCTGCAAGACCAACCCGGCAACCCAGCCCCGCTTTCAGCCGCCCCATCGCCCCCCCCCAAGCCCGGCGGCCATCGCACAGTCGTCGCCGCGAGCGCCATCGATGCCATGCAGAATCCGACCAGGTTGCCAGGAAAAACGGGCGAGGGCAGCGCAGGGCCGCGCAGGGCCGCCGTGACGTCGGGGCAGGTGTGTCGAGCTGCGACGTAAAGGAAGGCTAGGCGCGACGGCGGCGACCGTGGCCAGGTTGCAACATACCTGCTTCATCTCTTCGAGCGTGCTCTGGTCGACGCCCGACTCCTCAAAGTCGTTCTGCGACGCCTGGATCACCTTCTCCATGATCTGCTGGTACACGCCGCCCTGGTGGTCGCTGTTAGCAAGCCTGCCTCTACCCTTGCTCCGTCGGCTCGCGCGCACGCGTGCGCGCCCCGGGGAATACTGACCACGACCGAGTTCGACATGGTGGCGACTGCTTGGTGTTGGGGGCTCAGCTATCTAGTAGGATGCGGCGTGACGGGCGCTCTGTCGGCGCTGGACAAGGGCTCGCGATGGACGCTCGCGCCCAAGGGCTTGGGGAATAAGGCAGGCAGGCAGGCCGGCCAGACAGGCGACGACGACGACGTCAGCGCTTGAGGCTGCAGATGGGAGCGCACGCTCGACGAAGCTTGTGCGCGGTCAAGGAAGATCTACGGGATGTCGCTCGCCCAGACGGAAGCCTTTGTTACGACGTGATCGGGTGCCTTCAGCTTTCGTGGTCGTGGGGTGTATGAGTGATAGTGAGCGGCGCCCCGGCAATCGCTGAGGGCGCGATTCCTTAGCGCTCCAAGCTATTCTAGCGCCGCACGTGACCACGGGTCTGGCAGCATCCAGCGCCTGTCTGCCTCTGCCTCTGCCGCTGCCGCTGCCGCTGCCTATGTACATTGTACATGCACGCTTGCCGCCACCCGCAACGCCACTTCACTTTTGCCCTCGCCTTTCAACAAGCTTCATATTCATCTCGGTGCATCCGTTCAGACAAAAAATCCCATCAATTGCACTGCCAACACCTGTGCCGTCACGCCGTCACGCCGCCCAAATGCCTCCGTGCACGCTTGCAACTAACCAGAGAGCCCAAGAAGCAAGTGCAAGCGCAATTGTTTCGTGTGCGCGCCCCGTGTCCTGGAGCGGTACTGATCATCAGCCTACTGTATCAAAGCGGCCTTTACCGCTCGGTCAATGTCTTCGCGCCTGAATCCTGGCGCGCGCCCAAGGCAAACTCCTCCCCGGATGATTTCTGTCGCTCGCGTTAGACAAGGCCTTTTTGCCCATGCCCGCATGCCATTCACTCACCATAAATCAGGCGCGTAACATCCAACCAGGCACTCCTTTTTCTCGCCTGCTTTGCCCCCTGCAGGCCCTCCAAATTCTCTCCCATGATGCCCATTCCTGCATCCGTGGTGAAGCCGTTGTTGCTTGCAAAACCATAGTCGAAACTGGGCGCCAGATCCAATCCCAATGTCTGGTCAAACGAAATGTCGTGATCGACAAGCTTGGGAAACCCGCCAGGATACTTGGGCACTGAGTCATGATCAAGGCCCATGTCTAGGTCGAGCGCATTGTTTGCGTTCCCGTTGTAGAGGCTTTCGGATGCATGCGTCGAAGCGCAGCTTGTGGCCGGGTTTGTATAACTATGGCTGGTACTGGACAGCTTCGTGTCGCTTTCTGATGGCTGCCGTGATGTACTGGTATGCGAGCCTGTGGGCTCATCTTCTTCGATATCGATTAAGCATTCCGCAAACGTACTCCTGGGGTTGAGTCTGCACGCATACCGTTCCTCCAGATAGCCCTGTACGTCATGGCTGTCGAACCACTCGCCCTCGAAACCATGCAGGTCCACTCCGGTCAGGTGCCCCCTCCCGTCTTCTGTGCTTTGTACTTTATGCACCCTCTTGTTTGCCAACCCTAATTGCTCTATGGTCCATCCATTCTTTATCTGTAAGACGTTGCCCGCCGCATCTCTCCGTGGGTAGTGGGTCCCCGTACCACCCAGGTGGATGAAAGGTGAGTCCCACCAATCCAGGTCCTCATCAATATTCCGCGAAATGACGTTCTGGAAACGCTCCCGCAATTGGTCGACCGTGTGATACGCAAGGAAAAGCCTGAATATAAAATCGATCCTCTATCGTTTGATGGTCAGTTTGACGAGAAAGGAACCAAAAAAAAACCCCGAAATTCTGGTGCACGAGTAGATAAGGTTTGCCATGACAACAACATGGCGTGAATACATACCACAGGTGAGATATTGAAAGAAGTGAGGAGGTGCAATGCTACCTCAGCCGTTGTTCTTGCTAGCCTCCTAGCGAAGGTCGTCTCCTCAAAACCATATGTCTTTATGGGGTCAAGGCTCTTGTTGGGTAGACTTGGAACCGGCAGAAGCGGCGTTGGCAATTCGTTTGCAGGTGCAGTTTCATCGGGCGTTGGTATGCTGGCTGTGTACACATGCGGGGTTAATGTTCCGTACGCTGTTTGTATTTGGCGTGGAAGAGGAACTAGACCAAACGGCAATTCTTGGTGTGATGATGATGAAAAAGACGACGATGCATCAGACAAAGGCTCTGGGCCATAAGGAGTCTGGCCCACTATCTCTCCGAATGTAAACTGATGGCTACTGATGACGTCGGCAGTAGTGGTGGGGACCGGCTGGCAGCCAGCGGAAGTGGCGTGTGAGAAATGGGTATTTGGTGGCGCATGATCCTAGACAACAGGATGAGCTGAGTCACAGACGACGGGCTCGAGGTTCATGATCAAGACAGATCTAGAATTCTTTGTAGTGGTAGCGAGGCCTACATACCTTGCTCGGCACCGGTGGCACAAGACTGTATCCCCAACCAATGTGTTGGGGATCGAGTTCAGGCTCACATGGCTTCTGGCGCTCTGTTCTTTCTACCCCATGTTCACTCTCCTCGTCTAAATCATACTGCGCTTCACTAGCGGACTTGGCAAGACTCGAAAAGTTCTCCTGGACAGCTTTAAACTCTTCGGCTAGAGCGGGATTCAGCTGCAACAAGCCGGATTTCAGCGTCGATTCAGCCAAGTGGTGGAACTTTTTGTTCATTTGCTCAATGATGGAATGGAGCTGTGCGCTTTGCGTTTTCAGAGATGCGATGGTCGTCTCCTTGCGCTGGCGGTACGCTCGCTGGGCGAGTCGAATCTGCGTCCTTCGTCGCTAGCACCGTGTCAGTAGGGACTGAGGTGTCGATTCGATTGCCAGAATTAACCAATGGCTTCCAACTAGGCGGTTTCGGATCGAGAGCCATGGATGTCTTGAAGGAGGAAAAGCAAGCGGGGGGGCTGGCTTGGACTTGCAAGAAGCCAAGTCGATGCCAGCTGACCAGGAGACCAGGAGGTCAAGACGCCTAGGCTCTGACCACCCCAACGCACCCCTTAAACCAGTCGCCATCTAACAAACATGACAAACTTCACGTCGGACCGGGTTGGAGACAAGGAAAAAGCGACCACTCACGTCTGCGGCTGTGGCATCCTGGGTATCCACCCGTGGGCGGCCCCTGGCCTTCTTCCCTCCAGCGGCGTCTTCACCGCTATTGCTTCTGCGCGAGCGTTTGCGCAGCTGCTGGGCATGCTCGTCCGACTCGGAGCTCATGGCGACTTTCTGCTCCCCCTCTTTGCGGCCGTGGAACGGCAGTGTAAACAGGCTTCGGCAATGCAGTCGCTCGGGCCAATGGCAGCGGCGGGAAACTGGCGAGGAAGCGGATCCGGGTGGTGGTGATGGTGTTGTATAGTGATCAAGGCCCGAAGCCCCTCGCCCGCCACGCAACAAGCGACGACAAGCAGTGTGCGAGTACGTGGGCACGCTGGGGCAGAGTAATCGCAACTCGGGCGTGCGCAGGTGAGCGGCAGCAGGAGATAAAGGTGGTGAATAAGTATGCAGAGAAGCGCCTGGCAGGCCTGGTTGCGGCGTCCAGGGCTCCTGCGTGACGCAAGCCCACCAGCCAGCGCTCAAAAGCAAAAGACGTCCCGAGTGCCGCCGGCTCAGCACATAGGGTTCGCTACCGATCCGGGGTTTGCTGCCACAACTGCCCTGATGCGTGTGCTCTGCGTGCGCTTACCAAGCTGGGGGCTGGAGGGTCGAGCATGGCAGATGCAGACGCCGATTGCATACACGAGCAGAGGCCGTGTTCGCTGCGCCGCGGGTGCCGTCGCGTTGCTTCATCGGGCTAGGAGGGCAGAGCAGTCGAGGTACGCGTAGCCACTGCTGACGGCGATGGCCTGGGCCCGAGATTGCCTACTAGGCATAGAGGTAGGCTGGGCCTCTGCACATCCTGGTCCATGGGCGTGTTTGGGTGGTGAACGCGAATGTCAAGCGTGATTGCCAGGGCACAAGCTCCGCCGCTAGAGAGAGGCATGAATTGCTTAGCCCCGGCCGGTCCACGTGCACGGCAAGCGAGCTCGCCCGCCCGCTTCGCCTCGCCACGGTGCATGCATGTACGTACACTACACAGGCACAGCTGCCACGACCACTACCTGTCTGTACACCTACGCGGCTATCTATAGGTTCCGCTTTTCTAAGCACTCGTCCCGCCCCTTAGCACGGCAAGCCAAAATTCCCCAAAGCGGAGTGTGCAGGGGCCGTCGCGCCGCCCACCCGCATCGCTTCCTCCAGCCCAGTCCCGTCTGAGACGTGGGAACTTTGTCGTGCCGATCACTGCCTCCAGCCATGCTGTCAACGGGTAAGCCGCCTGTCCTTGTAGCTGCCGCCGCCAATCATATGGCACGTCTGACGATGCATGTGGCTCAAGGCCCCTTTGCCCCTCGCCCGTGTAAGCAGCATGCCGATGCACATAAACACCGATACACGGAATACGGCGGGCTCTTGGCGCAGCCATGCTCGACTAGTAGCTGCTATAGGCGATTCTGCAGGGGAAGCCCTCAAGTCAGCGACGACGACATGGGCTGCTAGGCGAGCCCTCTGCCGGCCCCGCGGTGGCTGCCATCTGCTTTCCATCGCCATATCAATCGCGCACACACGGCTGCGCACATTTCTCGCCTCGTCTTTGTGAGGCCGTGGTATTTTTGGACCCGCCGTCGTCTGCACTTTGTAACGTCTCGTCGTCCTTCTCAGCATCACTCAGCGACCCGCCTGCATCGGCACTTTCTTGCCATTTCCCCTCGGGCACAGTGGCATGCTCTCCATCAATCCGCTTTTGCCCTCTCTCTTCCCTTTCAATCCACTCCTGCAACTCTTCGTCGGAAGGCTTGAAGAAACACCACATTTCGTCCGACGTTGTGTACTCGGTCCCAGTGCTGTCCCGGAAGTGCCGCTTGAACTTTCGTTGCAGCCCAGCCGTCATGCGTCTTCGGAACGGTTTGTCTACACGGAGACGGGCAGCGATCCATTCATCACTGGGTCGATGTTCGTTGGGCGTTTCTTCCATTAACCGTGTTTGCAGGATGTGCTCGTCAGTTATGCAGCGGCTGATGATTGATTTCCCCCCGCCATGGTCGGGCGTCACGAGGCGTAGGAATTCGAGACTTGTCCCGATATTCAGGTCAATGGCTCTCTCGGGATTGACCGTCGCCTTCATGAAAAAGGATGTGATGTGCTCATACAAGATCGAAAAGTCGCTTTGGTTGATATGAACCGAGCCTCGGACGGTCAGTAGATATGCAGGTGCACCATGCTCACTGGCTTCCTTCATCAGGGACATTGAAGCGTCCCAGTTCTTTTCCCAGTAAAAGAAAGCTTCACTTGCGATACCAAGCAGGGGAAGGTGGATCCGATGTTGAGGATCATCAGACGGCGGCTTTATAGGCGCACTATGATTGCATTAGCACCAGCATGGGGGCTGAGAAGAGGCAGACCTACCCCCATATGTCGTAAATGATTCCGGCCTGGACATTTGTGAATCGATTGGTATGCCTGAGTACTTCGACCACAGTCGCTGCTCCAAAACTGTGCCCAGCCATGGTCATCTTGTCCACAGAGAAACGGTGTTTCCATTGAGACCAATCGACGCCATTCAGACCTCTGGACGAACCGCCCACATAGCCTTCACCCCTCAGGTTCTGCTGGGCCATCTGTTCGCCGTCGCCCGCGCAAATCATCTTCAGCACGCGGTATGCTTCTTCCAGTTCACAAAGACGCATTTCAATCTGAGCACTACGTAGCTCACTGTCAACGCCGTGTTCGTTGTTTGGTGCGGTATCCTTGGGGTTGTTTTTCGGGAAGATGTAGTCCTGTAGTCGTCAGTCTCTGTCCGAGTACAGGTGTAGAGAAAAGAGTACAAACCACATGGTGATAGCCTTGCGCAATCTCTGCTTCGGTATGATCCAGATGTCGGAACTTGTCAAAGTCTTTCTCGTTTTGCTCGTTTTGGTCATCTCTGCCCTGACCATGCTTATTTTTTCTTTGCTGCCCTTGCTTCCTGTGGTTTACAAAGGTACGAGGCCCACTACCGTCTCTGTGTTCTACAGCACATACAACAAAGCCGTAGCTGGCAAATTCAGAGCATAGGCTGCTATAAGCAGTTCTCGAACCACCCAAGCCATGACTAAACATGAGCAGGGGAAATGTTGGTTCCCCACTCATACCCTCGGGCGGGCTGCCTTGTTGATTCTTGATTTTGTATCCGTTCTTCTTCATATTTCCTTCAGGAGGCCAGTGTGTGGCTGGCGGGCTATTCCGGTATGCACGCAGCTTTGTGAGCATAGTGGTGGCAGCAAACAACCCAATACCAATCGAGTCGGGTATCCCTGCAAACCGTGCATATCCCTTGGCCGTCTCCATTCGTGGTCTTGGAAGCCAAGTCTCTCTACTCCACTTCTTCTCTCCTCCTGGCGCAGGTCCGCTTCCAATTCCAAATGCAGCTGGGTAGTAGAGTGTGAATAGAACGGTTTCTAGTTGCAAAAGATGCCTGCCATTTCGCTTAATGTTGGATATGGGCCGAGGGGTTTCGACGGGAACTTCAATCTCCATGCTGCCAACGGAATACGGTCCGGATGGGGGGCATAATGTAGAGTTTGGGTAGGGGAGGTGGTCGCGCAGTGACGCCGGTGGTCGAGAGCGAGGCTTTTTCGCATTGGGGACTTTGCCTGCTGACGAGGAATGCAGAAAGCTGTTGCGTCGGTCACCATGCTCGGTGCCAGTGATTCGCGTTGTTTGGCGCTCGAGAAAAGACATGGTGGGTGTTGAGTGACTATATCGTCAAAGACGCTGCGTGTCATTCAGCTAAGTAGATATACACACTAGAGTCAAAGCAGCAGGCTCGCGACTCAGGATGCAGCACGCAGCACAGCAACCGCAGAAAGAAAAGACCAGCGGTTCCTCGCCATGCTTATCGAAGTGGAAAAGTCTCGGACAAGCATCTGGTCCGTCACAGAGACTGCGGATGCGGTCGGGGCCTAGAAGCATAGCACGGACTCAGGGGTATGATGTCATGGTGCCATTTTGCCTTGGTGCCAGTGCGTCCCCAACCAACAAGGATGGCCCGCAGCCTCCAGCACAGCTTAGCTGCCGAACCAACCCGCCATCAATGCAACCGCCAATGCTGCCATTCTAAATAGAAGCAGCAATCTCCGGGCAATGCCAGAGTGTCTTACGACCTCGCTTTTTCGACCGGACCATGCCAACACCACACCTCTGAGTTGTCCGCGGACAGCACACTCAAGCACACTCAACCGACCAGGATGCACGCAACTTTACTGGAATTAGACTAGGAAAAACGGCCTAGGTATGGCTCCCGCGCGTATATATATAGCAGGTAAGATACATGTCATCTGAATCCATGAGTATGGAATCTGAGAGACTCTGGTCTCGAGCCTTTCCTTCCTAGGCTATTACTGGGTAAAACACGCGGTTCCATAAGATTCACAAGTAGCCGCAATTAAATCTAGACCGCATGCTAGTGCACACTTAGCCCTGGGAGTTGATTTTCCGAAAGCTTTATGCATCGCTTGACGCTGCGGCCGAATTGGACCTATATTGTAGAGCCGAGCTCTTTGGCCTGGCCACATCCGGGTATTGATCGGTGCCGAAAGTCGCGTTGAGAGACACCTGTCCCGAGATGCTACCATCTTCCAGGCGAATCCAGGTGTCAACCACGTGCTCGTCCAACAGATCCTCTCCCACGACAATCTGTCGCGCTCCACGTGTCCAGTCAGTGTATCCGCCGTATCCCGAGTGCCGATTGAAGCATATATTGAGCCCTTTTCCGTTGCTAGGTAAGGTACCAGGAAGATCTTCGGCCCACTTCATACACCAGTCAACGCCGTGGTCATGGCCCGAAAAGACTCCCATGAGTCCCTCAGTCTCGACAAGCGCCTGCATGAAAGGCGTGTCTGCCTCAGTGTATGCACAGTCACTACCGGCATCACCGCAAGCCTCCCGCTGGTGCCCTATTCTCTCTTCATTGATACCTGGATTGGTAGTGCGTGTATAGCTGTTCTCCTGGAATGTCCTAGTCGCATATATTGGGATATGGACGAAAGCCATGCTTGGAATCGCACGGCCATATTGCTCGCGGAAGGCGTTGTTGGTATTGCGAAACCACTCGACAACCTAAAAAGTCAGTACAATCATGGCAATCGTATCCATAACATACTTTGCTGTCAACCCAGGATGGTACCCCGACATCGTCGCCAGTCGGCTGGTACTTGCGGCCGCCTTTACTGTCGAAGAACCACAGTAGCATCTTGAGATCATTGCTGTTTGTAGAACTGTAGACAGGCACGAAGTAGTTGCCCCAGCCTACTTTGTCAACCTCGCCGACCACAGACTGTGTTGTGAATGATAGTTTCTTGCCGTTCTTTCCTTTGATATCCCACCACATGTGCTCCGACATGGAGACAGTGCTACAGGTTCTTGATGCATCATGATTGCCGAATGTCGCGCCAAATGGTAGATTGCGACTAGTTAGAGGTGCAACAATCTGATCGATGAACTTGTTGGCATCATCAGGGGCAACCCATTCGCAAGAAATGAGGTCGCCATTGAGGACTACAAAGTCGGGTTGTTCATTATCCAGTATCGAGTTCATCACGCCGACAGTCTTGAGGTCCGCGTTTGGACGGTTTCTTTGAGACTCAGCTGTAGAATCATGAGTGGCTGCTAGTCGCACGGTCGAGTAGCAACAACGACTTACGTTCGCCAAAATGAAGGTCACTGAAGACTGCAATCGAAAGCTTTCTGTCTGGGCCAAATTGAATACCAGGGTAGTTGGGTATGTATCGGCTTTGAAGGACAGCGGCCTCCACCGCAGTGGCGACCAGCCACAGCACATGTGTATGCTTCATGCTAACGGTATGGCGGAAGTTGATATTACCGCAAAAGCGAATGTTGGTTGGGGTAACGAAGGTGAACTAAAGTGAGTTGTAGGAAGGAAAGCTGATCAAAACAAAAGATTTGCAGACCCACTTGGGCTACAGTGAAGGAAGGAACCACGTTGGCTTGACACATGTCGGTGAGAAAAGAGCAAGGAAGTTGGCAGCGGGCACTCTTTCGCCTTTCTTGTGTGACTATCAAGAGCACGTATTGACACTCGAGCATTATCGAACATCCTTATGGCAAACATGGCCCAAGGCGATCATGTTTGCAATAACGCCTCTCCCCGAAAACTTGTATGCGTGACCGACAACCTCCAGCTCTACTCTGAGGATTCTCCCAGAGACGACCAGAACCGATTCAATCCATAAGGGACTTCTACACTTGGGTACGATTGATGTGTTGAGAAGCTGGCTCTGATTCAGAGCACATACCACGTGATTACTGGAAAGCATGGTAATCAGACTGAAGGACAATTGCCCTTTTGAGAAATGGTCCGTGGGCATATATCATCCCAGACTATACCCCGATGCGTCCTCTTACGACCATCCAAGGCGAATATGAGCCCCAGTTCACGATTATCAAATTGTACCCGTCATGCCTAAAAGCATGCATACTGTAATGCGATTATGCTAAGCCCGCTCGAGCAGGGGTCAACTCGATGATTGGCCAAGAGATCTTAGAGGTTGGTAGTAATTGATAGGCGAGACTCAAGACATTTCAAAGCTGACTCGAGTTCACGTGGCTGTCTGGGTATGTGCTATCCATAGGGCTGCGTCGAATAGAATGATGTAGGATGGATCCATGATGGCTGGGGGGTATGAAGCATAGCATCACGGGTTCAGGCATGTTGAGGCATCAAGTCTTGTTATACGTGCTGTATTACTATGGGGACGATTGTTGCATCCCCAAGGCAATATCAAGAGTTGAAATAAGATTTTGCGCAAAGACAGCTAAGGTGCAGAGTAGATGCGATGATGTCTGGGCACTGCAGGGAGCAGTTCGGGGGTCCGCAAAGCGCGCTAGCGCCGAGAACTTCCCCACCAAAATTTCCTGGCGCGAACTTCCGTATTCCTTTTCACCTTCACCAGCAATGAACGCCGAGGCATACCTGCGCAAGCAGGGCTGGCAGGGCTCCGGCCACTCGCTCGACACGAGCGGCCGGGGTATTAAGAAGCCGCTTCTTATCGCGCACAAGAACGACCAGCTGGGGCTCGGCAAAAAGAAAGCTGCGCATACAACAGACGACCAGTGGTGGATGCGGGCTTTTGATCAGAGCCTGCAAGCTATCGGCACGGGTCAAGATGTATGCGCCTGACAGCCGCCCATCTCGGCGACCTACACACGAGACCCTTGGGCTGATTTTCTGCGCAGAGCACACTCGACCAGATTCGTACCAAGGGCATCAACCGCGGCGGTTTATACGGCTTCTTCGTAAAGGGTGAGCAAATAGAGGGCACTATCGGAGACACCTCAGCGACCACCACGGATGCATCGAACCCCTCGTCTGGCACCAACACGCCTCCGACCTCTGCCTCTGATACCGAGGCGCCCACGAAGACCTTGGACAAGAAGAGCAAGCGCAAGCGGGAAGAAACGGAAGCAGATGATAAGAAGAAGAGCAAAAAGTCAAAAGATGAGTCGCGAAACTGTCTCAAGTTAAAAGCCAGTGACAATGGGCAAGATGCTATCGCGAAGAAGTTGGCGAAGCTGAAACCAACGGAAAAGGCCGAATACGAGGCACGCGCGGCAGCAAAGGGCCAGACGCTGGAGCAGTACGTCCTCCGCCGTATCCAGAAGAAGATGGAAAAGAATGCAGCCGAAAGAAGCGATGCGACCAAGGCAAAGAAACTAAAGGACGCAGTCAAGAAGAAAGAGAAGAAGAGCAACCATGCAGCCAAAGAGCAGTAGATGTAGCACAAATCAAGCCCAAAAGCCAGAGACAGAAGCAGAACAAGATGCATCCTACGTGCATGCTCTGGCGAGTCGTGTCACACGTCCGGACGGAACGACATTCCAAAGGCCTCGCCCACCTGTATTACCTCGCGACTCAGGGCGGTACGTCACCATCCTTGGCCACGCCGCAAGACCCTTGAGCGAGAATGAAATATCAGACCACAATGCGGGGTTTGGCCAAAGGACATGGGCATGATGAAACTGACTCAAGGCGGGCGCGCGGACCGATCAAAAGAGCGTCGTGTGTCTCTAACCACGTCAGGAATTTTGCGCGACATCGGAACTGGCATATGCCATCCGTGTGTGTGGGTGGGGGGGGGGGGGAGAAAGAGATAGAGAGTTAGGAACGTCAGAGGATTTGGCCAAGACCGACGTGTTTGTATGTGTGTGTGTCTGTGGATGGATGGATGGGGGGTCCCCCGGTTTCGGGTTTTTGGAAAACGCAAGGGACAAGGGGGGGGATCTTGTATCAGGTGCCGGCTGAGACCATTGCCGTATTCGATACCCAAGAAGAAGAAGATTTTTTTTTCTCAAGACTGATTATTATTTACCGTCTAGGGAGTTTTTGTCTTGACGTGGAATGGAAAAAATATAAATAAAAGACGCTGTTTGATAACAAAGATGATGATGCGTCCGATACAGAATATCTTACAAGGTGCTCAAACAGGCAGGGAATAGATTCTTCTTCGTCGTCGTCTTCTTCTTCTTCTTCTTGTCCGCCTTGTTGTTGTTGCCCCAGATGCCCGTGAGATACTTTCAGCGGTAAATCCATCTTTTTTCCATCATGTTGAACCACAAAAAAACATGCAGACTGGGGAATAAAGTAGAAAATGGGAATAGAGAAAGTGAGGGGAAACAAACAGTCATAATCCACCAAATCAATCGCTACATCCCAAAACTTGGTCATCACTTCATGCCGTCTTGCCACTGAGAATCCATGGCCTCCTCACCCAGAACTCATCCTTGATAATGTCCACGTGCTCCATCAGCACGGTTGCTTTGCTCCTTTTCTTCCGGTCCTTTTCCTTTTGTGTGCGGCTCATGGCTACCGGGCGCCCTTCATCGCTAGTCTGGTTCTTCGCTTCCCGCCTCTGCGCCTCGGGTTGCCTGCGCTTTTGCGACTCGTTGGGCTGCTTCGCCCGCGTCGAGTCTTTGAGCTTGAGGTTGGGCGGAGGCAGGTTGCTCCGGGTTGAGAAGCTTGTGCTAGGAAACGGCTGTGTCGTAGGGTAGGGTTGAGATTTTGGCGCTGGGATCGTCGACGAGATGAGCGTGTGCAGATCTGGCGTGGGGTGCACCGAGTGCAATGACGAGGATGTGAGTGGTGACTGTGCCAAAGTTGGCGCCCATGTTGGTGTGGAAATGGCATGCAGTTCCGCGATGCCTGGATGCGCAGCGCTCTCATCGGTCCAGACTTGGCCGCCCCGGTTCTCAGAGTCACTGGCTCTTCGTACCACTGGCTCGTCAGCATTACAGATATTGTTTCTGGCCGATTCTTCCCGCGGGCTGTTGGCTATGACCTTCTCTCTTGTTCGCGTCTCTTCTTCTGCACTCATTGGCGGACTTGGTAGAGCCTTGTTCTTTTGCATTGGCGGACTAACTCGTCGAGGTGGCGTGGGTAGTGCCTCTTTCTCGTCGACAGTACCTCTAGTAGCTTTCAGTGAGCCTGTTGATTGGTGAACTGGGAGTGACAACTTCCTCGGTTTATTGTTGGCGGGGATGCTCGACATGCGGAGAGGGATAAATGGTGGTCCTGTCTGGACCCTGCTACCAGAGTTGAAGGTGGGAAGTGTTGGTTGGCTGGGCGAGCGTCGTTTCAGCCCAGGGTACTGGTCTTGTTGTGCATGCGGTGTCGAAAGGGACGCAGAGGCCGAGTGCGAAAACACATGGTTGTTTGATGGTAGTGGATGGTGGCGGTACCCTGCGATTGGGTAATCGGCGGGGAAGTCATTCTGCGGTGTTGTTGGTGAAAAGTTTGTGCGTGTTGTTGGGTTTGGTGCATTCAAAGACATTGGAGGCCTGGTACTTGGTTTCAAGGTTGGTGGAGAAAGAGGTAGAAGCGCCAACGAAGGCAGTTGTTGCTTGCCGCAGAAGTGTGATTTGGCCCAGGTGGCTGTTGAGGGTGGCGAGAGTGGCAGAGACGGGTCTGAGGCATTGGCACTGCTCTCAGGAATGACAGGGTTGGATCGAAGCGGGTTGGGCAATGCTGCTCTTGACATGGTGGGTGATGGTGGCGGCGAAGGAGTCGATGCTGAGGAGAAAAACGTCGGACGTGAGCAAGAGGCAGGCGATATTATCAACTCTTCTGACTCTGGCAGAAGCGGGATAACTCTCTCGATAGACTGAGACAGCTTATCTTTAGAAACGCGCTTCGGTATCGGTTGAGCAAGGAGCGGGGGTGTGGGGAAGTCGGCAAAGACAGGGTTGAACAACTCTTCAGCTGGCGGGGGAGGGAAAAACTATCCATGTTAGGCGCCGGGATTCGATGCATGAACAGGACGGGAGGACCATGACCTACATCTCGATACAGCACAGTGCCCTTCCTGAAGCACTCGGGCTCGTTGTTGTAGTTGATGCCGAATTCTTTGAACAGAATCTCGTTCTTGTCTGCTGACACGGTTCCTTTGAGTCGTTCTTCTGCCTCACGTGTGCCCATGCCGCCTTGTTGCACCAAGGTCCAGAAGGTAGTGTTGTATAGATTGTTTATGTGGCCTAGACGTCGATCAGCCCCACTGGCGATATCGATAGCAGACTGAGGGAGATTGCAGGAAAGCAAAGTGCGCGCAGTGGAGAAACAGTAGCAAGGTCGGGGTACCTACAGTCAACTTGTCGCCAACTCATGTAGTCACGGAGATTGGTGTCGCTCGGATAGCATACTGCCCGTCCGTCGAATGAAGGGAGAGGGGGCGTGAGTGGCTTGTGCGGGAAATATCTAGACCACGAAAAGATATAATAAGAGGTGAAAGTGGAGACGATTGTTGAGGTCAGCTTGCTGCGGGCGGGTCAGCATCTAGGTAGACGGAGCGGTGCAACACAGGGTATCCAGGTGGATAAGAGTAGTTCCATACCTTGCGCGGCGCTCGAATAAGGTGCAGTCCTTGTGGAAGACGAAACTAAGACCCACGTCAGCTAGCGAACTTGTGAAACGCGGACGGGCGTCCGAGAAGAGAGGCAGCAAGTGGCACAGAGACTGCGCCACGGGACTGTCATCTAACTCAAACATGGCAGCCGCCAATCGAGGAGTAGAACGTGCCTATACTCGTCGCTGTTACCAAAGGCGACGACAAGGTCCGGTAGTTCTTGCATGACAGCCTTGGCGGCGGCATTCATAACGTCTAGGCCATTTTTGTCGTTGGGCTTGGTGAAGTTATATTTGGTGGTGAACCTGGCGGCATGGGGTTAGCAACGAGGTGCCTGGTGGTGTATAGTAGGAGGAGGAGGAGTAGTAGTAGTAGTGGTGGTCGTAGTCAAAGGGATGGCCTCAAGCAGCTCTCTATCCGTGCCACGGGTACCTGCATATGGTGCCGGGCCCGAAATAGCGCCCTGGCACGCGGGCAGCGCGGAGGAGGCGGCAAAGGCGGAACGAAGGAGAAAGCACATACTTGGAAAAGCCGCGGCCGTCGATGCGGACGACAATCCACGTGTTGGCGAGCAGAGTATCCGACTGCTCAAACAGGCGCACATATTCATACCTGGGCAGCGTCAGTCGCCGGCCATTGCGGGGTCCAGCGGGCGAGCACTCACTTGCTGTTGGCCATTTAGTCGCGGCCGCGGTCGAGGTCGAGGTCGAGGTCGAGGTCGAGGTCGAGGTCGAGGTCGAGGTCGAGGTGAAGGACGGCGGGCGCGTGATGCATAGTCTGGCAGAGGTCCGCGGCGAGAAGACGGACGGGTGCCAGTGGTTTTGAAGGCTGCGGGCGCGCGAGACTAAGACGACCCCGCGGCGCGGTAGCAAAAAGACAGCGTTTCAGGATGGCAGACGTTATGCAGCTAGGGCGACAAGCCTCGTGAGTCGAAGACAGCTCGCACGTCGAGGGCGCAATTGGCATTGTCCGCGTCGACCATTTGTGCCCGGCGCGCGCTACGCCAACCCGATTGGGTCCCCACTCGCCACACCCGACCGGTCGCACTAGCGCTACAACCCCCAGCCTCTGCTTGCATCTCCCCTCTCTCTCTCTCTCTCTCCCTCCCAGCGCCTCTCTCCCTCTCCCTCGCCCTCTCCCTCCCGCTCTCGCTTTGCCTCGCCCCCCTTGCCCATTGCAGCTACTCGCTGCGCCGCCCTCCAAACCCACGACATGCCATCCATGCACACGGCCGCTGATGCGCCCGCCCGCCGCGGCTATAGCACACACGGCTCGCTGCCATCGCCGAGGTGCTGAAACACCCATCTGCCTTTCTGCTCTCCCGGCCGCCCTCCCGCGCTGATTCAGCGGTTGGGCTGCTGGAAACCATTGTGGTGTCGATTTCCGCTGTCGAGCCCATGTGACGGTCGCCGCGAGCTTGATGCTGGCACCGAAGCCCGTAGCCTGACGTATCCGGGACGCCGGCCTCCAAGGGCACCAACGAACAGGAGCTGCAACCCGACGCTCAAACGCAAACCGCCATGTAACATTCACAGCCAGTGCCTGTGTCTGGCCGGCAACGCGTGCTTCCATTGGTCCCATGTCCACGCCGGATCTCTCCGTTTCCTGCGCCTTCTTGGCTACAACGCTACTTGCCCGCAACGCCTCGTGCCCTCGTTCGTCCTATGCTGCCTCTTTACACAAATCCGTCTCAGGAACCCGGGCCTGCTGCTGACATGGCTTCCCCACACGTGCAGCGCCAGGCTTGCCTCGATCAAGCACCAGCACTGCGCTTGTGTATGATGAAACAACCACGGCCACACTTCCCCCAACGTACTATTCCATTTTAACTTTGATAAGACCCGAGCTGTCGGTAGGAAAAACACAGATACTCATATACATAAACTCAATTGTGTCTTTCAATCCGGTCCCTTTCCCAGGCACCCCTGCCCAGCATGGGCCGGACCGGCGCCGCAAACGAGTGGATCTTGGTGTCAATCCGGCTTTTCCGCACTCCCGCTGTTTTGTCTAATTGTCGCCCTCCCGCATCTCATCTGTAGTCGTCTTGTCGTCGTGGCACATCTAACCCAAGCACCGGCAGTCGGCCAAGTCTTATGCCCTCCAGCGGAATCTGCCTAGTGTATACAGAACATGTTTCGCGTATAGAAAAAAACAAGGAAAAATCGGGCTCCGCAAACGTCGGCAGAAGGTTTCAAACGTCCCCATCTGAGACGCGTTGCGATTACGCTCGCTCGGTAGTGCAATTCACCACTTACCGCATCGGAGATTTCGCCCTGTCCTCTTTGTTCGCATGGCCGGCTTTGGTGCGCCTCAATTCTTGGCACCGGATCAAATGGGCGGGAGAGGAGCGGCCAAGCCTGTCTAAACAGGCTAAGGTAATGTAACCTGTCTGTAATTTCGCTACACTGCTCCTGACTACAAAAACAACTTACACAAAGTTGCAACAGCGTCGCCTCTTGCCGAGTCATGCAGCTGTACATTGCCAAGGTTGCCGACCATCAAATGGGACAATGCCTGTACCAAACGCCCAAGGGAGACTGCCAGACCCCAAGGCCAGTACCAAGGTCGTCTACATTGTACTACTTCTCTTTTCCAAAAAGCAAGGAAATGAGGCTACTGTGCAACCCTGTGTTTTTTTATTGTTTATTTGAAATAGTTCTAGTCGGATCGCCGAGAACGGGGACTCGGCGCATTGATGAAGCTTAATTGATCAACAACGAAAAAAGCGTCATTTTGAACTCTATGCGTACACCAAAGACGTCTAACCACGTGATGCACTACCCACGTGATGATTTGTCAAACAATGCTCTGTTGAGCCACTACTGGGCGAAGAGGGAAATTGCCAATATGCAAGAAAGAAAGAAGGAAAGAAAGAAAAGGGGTATTGGAGGCCTTGGACAAAGGAAGAGAGAGATGAAGAATTAACTATCCATCCCAATCCCCCAGTCTGATGCTGGAAACATCATCGTAGACCTTGGTGTACAGCACGCACTAACAAGTCAACACCCGGAATCACCCGCATTTTGGTTATCGCTTCTCCAGGTTGTAGCTACGCCTCCGTCCCCTTTCAGGGTCTGCCACTCGGGTATCTAAACCAGCCACACCCGGCGCCACCTTCCCCCCACCCCCAGAAAAGCAGTCACGCGCTCAATAAAAAAAAATAACGCCTCTTTCACCACCACCACTACCATTTTTTTTTACCCGAAACTCAAAAAAAACAAGCTTAAAAATATCATCCGGTGAGCCAGTGTGCAAGCCAGGGTCCAGCACACGCCAAGATAGGCTTGTTGAGGTTCTTTGCTCTCTCTTTTATTTTTCTCCACTGGGCTAGAGCAAGTTGGCAGGTTTCTTTAGTATAGTTTTATTTATTTATTTATTTCCTTGTTGGCGAACTAGTGAGGGTAATGAACAAAATAAAAAATAAAATACAAGTACTTGACAAGCAAGATGAAGACTCAATATTGAGATTGGTAAAGAAACAGGACAAAGGACGACGACTACTACTACAACAACAACAACAACAAAAGAAAAGAAATGTCATTGCTGAATCATGGCACACATACACGACATGACATGATTTCCCCTCACGTGGCCCTCATTATTCTGTGACCATGTCTACCCCTGTGGCGCCGTGGTCTAACAGCCAGACAGCCAATTACCGTCTTAGTTAGCACCTGTATTATGCCTTGACTCTTGTCTGTGTTGCGGGTGAATACGGGAGAGTGACGGTAATAGAAGCGAAAGGGAAAAAAAGAGGAAAGTATGCGGGAGAAGTCGGAATCAGGCAAGCTGGGTAGTTTTTGTAGCGAGTGTAGGTGGTGGTGTAGAGAGAGGACTTGACTCGTGCACACAATACGAGGGGGACATAGATGTGGGCATTTTGGCCGCGCGAGGAACATGTGCCAAGGCGCTAGACTATATATAACTACTACCTTGTTTATACAGGCGATTTGACGTGCACGTATATGAGAAGGGTGGAAGCGCATCGTGTTTGAGGGTGCGAGGGGCGACATGTTGGTACTTTGTCGCCGTGCTATCTGATGATTATGCACGCGCTGTTTACCTATACTTGAATTGTTTGTTTCATCCGATAATCTGCGTTATCTGTATACAAAGTACCCGGTATGCGGGCTGGACCATCAAACCCGCTTGGCGTACCCTGGTCCTTAAGTGAACTATAGCATCCAAGCCTTGTGGTGACATGTGACGTTTGACGTTAGAGATGGCGACTACGTGATTTGAAAAAACTTTACATTCTCTTATATCAAGCGAGGTAATGGTGCACTTGGCCAGATAATGCATGGATTCAAAGAAAAGGGGGAATGCAGACTCCACATGTGCGTGGTGGAGTTGTGACAGACTAGTAAGTAGCTTTGCCTCATGTGTGCGTAGACCGATACAAAGGGGGATTCTTACCATGATGATGAGAATCTCAAGGTCTGGGTGATGCATATGCACAGCATTCAGCTTCGAAAGGGATTTACCGAAAGGAATTGCGCAGGGCTGTGGGACTAGTCTTGAATCGCGCCCTGAACACGGTGCCGGCGACTCGAAATATCCGGTGCAACCACGTCGTGCATGAAGATTCTGCGAATGAGCCACAAGACTTGAGAATAGGATCAAGATGTCTTCTACCAATAAGGTCAGTATCAATGATGATGCAAACCTAATAATAAAAAATGGGTCTCTGTTGATGGTTTCGTGCTCGTTGAGAAGAGTGGTTGATGTGAACCCTTTACAGTGCATTAGTTCGTGTCGATTCCAGAGACGAAAAACAAAAATGATGGCAAGAAGTAAGGAGATTTTTGGCAGGGACCAAAGCAAAATTGAACCACTACAGAGCCTGCGACCTGATAGAACCTTTGAGTGGATCCTTTGGAAAAATGTCTCTTGGAGCTGGGTTGTATGGTTAGGAAAGCCTCCACAAGTCCAAAGCCAAATCCGACCTGGGGTCCACCTTGCCATTTTCCAGAGTAACGGGGTCGTGGGGAACGATGATCCGGGCCACTGTCGGATGCAGCAGTCTGTTACGGCGAATGCTAGTTGCAAGCGAGCAAAAGACTAGCGATGTAGACGCGATGACTACAAGGCTCCACCTAGGGAGTATTTGAAAAGGGGGATACCGACTGGATAAGTGTGGTGTTCCAGTAAGATAACCGTCGTCCAAACGGGGGATTGTGTGATGAGGCCATGGTGAGACCAACGAGACACTTGTTCAATATTCCAAATGAAGAACAAGGGTCAGCATCCCACAGATGGGAATCAGTCCAAACAGATGTCAAGGCTGTGGTGTGGAGGGAAAACGTGAGACGCTCCTTGCAGCAAGGGCAGAGAAGAGGGTATATGTTAGCAGCAGAGAGGAAGCAGCTACTGGGCGAGTTGACCAAGTGGATGGACAGATGGCCAAGGGGAACACGGGTCATGGATAGACCCTCAAACCCAAGGGTTGGCGGCCTCATGTCGGTCTGCCGTTGTTCGGTTAAGACGGAGGCCTGCGTCCATGGTGGAGCCAGCAAAGTTGGGGGGTAAGACAGTGGGACGCATGACTATCAGGCGAGTAGAATGTGGGGATTGTGGGAGCTCCACACATGAGGCTCCGTCTTCCTGATGGGTTTATCGGACTTTGGCAATGTCTTGGGAACCGGGGGCTGGGCTTGGGAAGACGCGAATAGGGTGAGCACATGAGAAGTCGGAGATTGAGTTAGGCACGACGAATGGGCCGTGCATATGCGGCTCAGCGGCAGCGCCGAAAGCGTACTCTAGCACGGGCACTGAGGTGGAGCTGGTGGACTGGGATAGCCCGCGCGTAAAGCAGAGCCGCCAGAGATGCACGATTGGCAGCGATAGACGACCAACGGGGCCTTTGACTGCGATGGCAGGCGGTTTCCCCAGTTCCAGCGCCCTGGTGGGAGGTCTCACAGCGGCATCCAAGTGGAATCGCAGCAAGCGGGTGGGTGGAGGAGATTGGCCACGCGGTGCCTGGTGCAGCAGTAGGCGTAATTGGTCGGGGGTTGAGGAAACCCTGAGGCTGCAGGAGGCGGTTGGCGGTGTCGTGTGCGAAAAGTGGGTATGAGTGTGATTATCCGTAGGGCATGTGCATAAGAGAGAAAGGCCGACATTAAGTGCAGTCCCGGTGGCAGGATAGACGTAGAGGAGGGGGTGTGCTGGCAGGCGGCAACACGTGCGCAGGCGCGGTGTAGTGGGCGCCGAAGCGGAAGATGTTTGGCAGGCAAAAGGAGGGGGGGGGCCGTCTTTTCCGTGGGAGCGGTATTCTTGGGGGAGACGGATGGTTGTTGGGGCTTGGGAATGGGGAACTGGAGAGATCGGCATCTTGTCTTTGTTCTGTCGGGTCGTGGGGAAGACGGGGTCGGCAGCAGGCAGGCGACAGCTGCAGTGGTGCTGCCACTGTCGCTGTCACATGGGTGGTTGTTCTTGTGGTGGTGGTGGTGGTGGTTATTGCTGCAGCAGCAGTTCGTGTCGGTCGCGCCTGGCCGGGACGTGTTCGTGTCTGCAGCGTGCCTGCCTATCCTGGGTGCGTGCGGTAGGCAGGTGGAAGGCACGACCGGCGAGTGCAGCGGAGTGCCACAGCGAGGTGAGCGCGCCAACCGAGGCCGGGCCTTCCTGTTTTGGGAAGCCCGGATCAGCACTGGCACCGGCTGGGAGCCTCATGTCGACGCTAGCAGCTCAGGCCCGCGAACCGCTGACCCGCGAGGCTCAACCGCCAGCGATGCGCACGATCGCGTGCGAAGGCTAAGCATTTGGCATTGGCAACCTATCCTGCATTGGCAGGACGGGCGCCCGTCGAGAGTGCACACGATGGTGCAGGGCGAGGGCGGTGGCGTGTGTTTGCGAGTGCGAGCGCGCGTGCTTGTGCTGGCGCTGGGGAGCGAGGGCCAGGCTTGGTCTGGGGTCGGAAAAACATGGCCGTCGCCAGTGGCCGAATCAGGACTTGCCGGCCGGCCAGCGTCACCGCAGCAGTGGCAGTGGCAGCAATTGTGCCCGAGGCATGCAGCTGCAGTCTCTGCCGCCCGTCTTGGGCAATGCGCCCGCCCATGGCCGACAAGCTCGTCACCGTTGCAGCCACGGCGCGCTCAAGCTCCACCCCCCCAAGCACCGTGTTAGTCAAGATCGGCCGCCAAGCCACAGAAGCTGCAGAGCCGCATGCGCACGGTTGGTCAGACCCTGCATGCCCGCCGCTGCCTGACGTCACGCCCGCTCGTGTTGGGCCTGGCGGGCAGCATGGCGGGCGTGGCAGTCGCAGTCGCAGTGCTGCTTGTGCCTGTGCTGGTCCGCCGTGCAGAAATCTCAGCACGCTATTCTCTTCCGCGGCCTGGCGTCTGTGCCTGTCCTCTGGCGGCATGTTGCCCGAGTCGTTAGTCATACGCCTGCCCTGCCCGGCCCTGCCCTGCCCTGCACCCGACGAACGCCTGCTGTCCCTGCAGCGCCTTGCCATCACCGTGACATGGCACTCTATTTCCCTGGCGCTGGGCTGCTGCTGCTGCTGCTGCTCCATGGTCACACTGCACACTGGCAATGCCTGGGCGCGGCGGCCTGGCCCCAAACCGTCCCTTCGCCCGCCCGCCGCTGGCCACACACATGCACTGCCGTCTTTTGCTCGCCGCCCTCTTACTCACCCGCTCTCCCGATGCTTGCTCCCGTGACGTAATGTGGAGGCAACCTCGCAGCCAAGGCGCCAGGCTGCCTGGGCCGAGCGCGCTTGTCGCACCGCAAGCGTCCTCCCCTCTTCTCCACCATTGGCCTCAACAGCACACGCTCCACTTCCGCTCCCTGTTAGGCTCGCTGCATCTCCACAGTTTATTTGCGCCTCTCCCGCCAGCTGCACGGCCTCTTGCGTTGCTGCAACACCAGACAAGGCCAAGATGGTGGGAAAAAATCGTTATCTAGTCTTCTCCACGCGTCAGACTGCAGCCTGGTAGCGCTGCTGGAAAAGTGGACCAATGCCTACACGCTGCACCATGTTTTTGCCCGCAACCCCGGTACGCCTGCTGGGGATCACCATTTAAACCCTCTACCCTCTCCCCCAGCTGCCTCTCTCCCCACCATCTCCTCACTTCCTCCGGCTTGTTCATCCATACACAGACAGCAACCATGCCGCCCCGAATCAAAGAGAGCGCTGCTGGTGTGCCCACCTACTGGGGCCAGTCCGGTAGGATGCTCCAGGTCCTCGTCACTATTGTCGCCGTCACCGACTTCCTTCTCTTCGGCTACGACCAGGGCGTCATGAGCGGAATCATCTCTGCCCCCGCTTTCAAGCACGCTTTCCCCCAGGTCGACGGCGACTCGACCTACGAGGGCTTTGTCGTCTCCATCTACGCTGTCGGTTGCTTCCTCGGTGCCTGCTTCATCTTCATCTTCGGAGACAAGCTCGGTCGCCGCAAGAGCATCTTCCTTGGTGCCTTTGTCATGATTATCGGTGTCATTATCCAAATCGCCTGTGTCCCTCCCAACGGCGGCGCCACTGCCCAGTTCATCGTCGGACGATGCATCACAGGTGTTGGCAATGGTATCAACACCTCGACCATCCCCACCTACCAGGCTGAGTAAGTTTCCATGCCCCAGCCCCTCACAGTCTACATGGGTAAAATATGTACTAACTGCCCGCCAGGTGCTGCAAAGCCAAGAACCGCGGAAAAGTCATCTGTATCGAAGGCTCCATGGTCGCCATCGGCACGCTCATTGCCTACTGGATTGACTACGGCTGTCTCTACGGCCCCGACGACTTCACTTGGCGATTCCCCATCGCTTTCCAGTGTGTCTTCGCCATAATTGTCATCATTATGATGATCTCGCTCCCCGAGTCTCCTCGATGGCTGCTCAACCATCACCACGAAGATGAAGCTGCCACGGTACTGGCTGGCTTGAACGGCCTCCCCCGCGACGACCCCGAGGTTCGCCTCCAGATGCAAGTCATCCGTGATGCCGTCAACGCTTCCGGTGGCGGTGGCAAGGTCCCTACCAAGGCTCTCCTCACAGGCGGAAAGACACAGCACTTCCGCCGTGCTCTTCTCGGCGCTTCGGGTCAATTCATGCAGCAACTGTCTGGTTGCAACGCCGTCATTTACTACTTCCCCATTCTGTGCCAGGACGCTCTGGGTACCACCCACAACCTTGCCCTTCTTTTGGGCGGTGTCAACATGGTGGTCTACGCCGGATTTGCTGCCACCTCATTCTTCTTTGTCGAGCGCGTCGGTCGCCGCAAGCTTTACCTCATCGGTACCGTCGGTCAGATGCTTTCCATGGTCCTGACCTTTGCCTGTTTGATCGACAAGACTGTCTCTGCGCCCGGAGCCGCCGTCGGTCTCTTCACTTACATTGCTTTCTTCGGTGTCACCTGGCTGCCTCTTCCCTGGTTGTACCCGGCTGAGATCAACCCTCTCAAGACTCGCCAGAAGGCCAACGCCTTCTCCACCATCAACAACTGGCTGTGGAACTTTTTCATCGTCATGATCACTCCTGTGCTCATCAGCAGCATCGGATGGGGCACTTACCTCTTCTTCGCCGCTCTCAATGCCTCCTTCATCCCCGTCATTTACTTCTTCTATCCTGAGACTGCTGGACGCTCCCTTGAAGAGATTGACCTCATCTTTGCCAAGGGTTTCACGGAGAAGATGAGCTATGTCCATGCCGCCAAGCAGCTGCCCAAGATGGACGAGGCCCAAATCGCCGAGGCCGTCCGCCAGTACGATATTTCTGACAGCGACGTCGAGAACCGATCTGCTGCTGGATCCTTCAAGGAGAAGCGCCGCCAGGATGAGGAGCTCATGCCCCAGGCTAGTGCACAGCCGTAAAATCTCATTTTTTGCCAAAGCATGTATGTGAGCGCTGGTCGCAATATTTGCGAATGAGCGCTGTGCGTGCGCGATGACATCGGCAAGCCGATGCATGAATGCATTTATGTCTGGTGGGAAATATACCCGGCGCTGAGACGCCACCCAATCCGGGCTTGTGGGACTCTTTACTCTGAAAAAAAAAATGTTGAACCATGTGCTTGGGAACATGCAGCCTTTTTCCTTTTTCCAATTTTCTGCAAATCTAGCATCGCATTATACCATAGATCGACAAAAATGTGTCGTATACTCAATTCAATATCTATGATTCCTCTTACCAACTTCTGTTATGATCTTGGTGTGTGTAGTGTTGTTTCATGAATGTGTGGCTATGTCGCCCCGCAACGCTTTTGAATATGTCAACCTTTGGTCATGTAAATTGCAAATCCAGTGGGCGAATGCATAACATACAACCTTGACTTGCCTCTTTACACGATTCAAATATGACAACCCGACACATTTTACAGCGTGATGAGATATGCTAGAAGACGGTGGTAGGGTACCGTACCCTTTGACTTTGACACCACAAGTAGTTAGTAATTTACACTTTGAATGCTTGCCAAGAGCCCGCGATAACAGATACACACGACCTCTAAGTACAGTTTCAATCTACCACTGCACTCCCTGTTGCTGAGAGTTGCTAGTCGTGGTTGCTTTGACGTCTGGTGTTGGAATCCGCACGTGCCTCCTAGAGGCCTTGCTCGGAACCGTTCCGATTTCCGCCAATGCCACTTGGCTTCCCTTTGTTGTATGCGCTGCTGTTGTCCTCACTTCTCCAGGATACCCCACGTGTAGTCGACAATGGCCACGTCAGATATATCGTTTGACGCTTTGATACCGCTCATCGTGTGGCAGTTCCTCATACCCATTGTCAGTGCAGCCCCAAACCCCCGAATCAACAGCATCTAACGCGACACAGGGAGCAGGATGGGTACAAACAGTCCTTTATGGCATCTTTATTCGCGCCGGCGACCCTAAGCCAATGCCCGGTTCTCCGCGATATGTCAAGCATCGTCGCAATATTCTTATCGCCATCTACGCAGCATATCTTACATTCACCATCTACGAAGCTGATTACAACCAGCAACGTTTGAGCAACGTATACCGCGACCTCGGCGTACCCATAGATGTTGACGAGAGTGGCATCAACTCGCGCTTCAGGAGGCTGACAATCAGATTTCACCCGGATAAAATAGGACCCAATGTGGACAGGGAGCTAGCCAACAACTACTACGTACACTTGAAGCACTCAAGGGACATACTTTTAGATCCAGCCAAGCGCTTCGCATATGATCGCTTTGGCCCAGACATCATCGCACAATGCCGACACTGCGTGACGGTCAGTGACTATATCAGCGAATCACTGGCGTCTACGGGCTTGATCTACGGCGTTCTGCTCATCATGTTGATCGGCGCAAGCGCCCTTCGCATTCAGACCACTGGCTCATACTGGCGCTACCTGGGCCTTCTTGCTGTCGCAACCTTCGACATGGCTACCGCTCTGCGCCCATATCATCCTGTGTTCCTCTCCAAGTACCTGAATCCGCTCCTCACATCAACTAATATCCGGCCCGCATACCTACCTTTTCAAGTCCTCAGTATCATGAAGAAAGCAGCCATCTCCTTCACGCAGTTCCTCGCTCTCCTCATGCGGCTTTACCGTAGCGACCCACAACAATCCGCAAAATCCTCCAAGGACACGGAAGAGGCAAGGCACAAGCAGCTCGACCGTCTCACGGCGTTGGTTACCGAGACCAATAAGGATGCGAACAGACTTCTGGAATTGGAGAGCATACCCTATAGGGAAAACGAGAAAGCAAAGAGCGAGCTGAGAGAGGCATTGAAAAAGTACATGGTACAGAACGTGGTGCATCAAGAGAGGGAGGTTAGAAATGCAATGGGAGAGGTTATGATGAGGAGAAGAACCGGCGCACCGCACGGCGCACACGGAACAAAGTAAATTTCGTAATCTATACAAACATCAAGTAGCAATTCACAGCGCCTTACACCTTGCCGTCACAGTCAACATACGCTACAGCACCTTGGCTTCCCACCACTGTGGAAAGAACTAGGTACACGAAGTACCATTTTCAACCTTCTTGGATAAAGTCTCTCTGTTTATCCCTGGCGATTCCTCCATGACAGGAGCTTTTCAGAAACCGGCCATTTCTGAGTCGAACTGGCAATATTGTATACACCGGATGGCGCGTCATTTTCGACGCCGCAGCACCCAACGACTACGCTGTAGGTAGACAGTACGGTCAGTTCCAGGTTGGCGTCGACTGGTCATTCGTATCCTTTGGCGTACTGGCAATGTAGAAGTCAACGCTGGCGTGACTTCTTCACCTTCACGCTCTCTCTAGCCGAAGCAAGCGTCTGACCAGCATCGAGTGTTGTAATAGCAGACCTCCCACTATCTGATTACTCCATGGGGATCGATTGCAAATTTGGCCACGCTAGAGACGTTGGTGCAGCAGGCCAGTTCTGGTGAGACAAAAGTCATTGTCCGTGTCCAATTCTAATTAGTACCCGACTGCCGCTAACGTAATGTGTAGCCCTGCCCCTTTTAGATTATCCACCTCCTTCTTTACTTTGGCGGTGAATGTGGCGGCCACATCTGAAAATCGCTCATAGTCAGCATCATTCAGCGACCCTTGTGACAAATCGATTTCGATGGCGACCTCGGTTCGTGTTGTCTGGATTGCACTGAGCGTCTCGATTGCTCTGCAGCATTGCTGCTCTTCCAAAGCCCGCTCTTCTGGCAACAGGAACGTCAAGTAAAGCGGCTGGATCTGGATCTGCAAACGTCTCGCGTAGTGGGCCGGGATCATTCCAAAACCAAAGCCATCGGTCTGGAGAAAAGGCCCCAGCAGGCAGAGTTCGGGATGAGAAAACTTGAATGTACGTGTCCAGTAGTAGCACTCGAGCATCTCCCGCCCAACATCGTAACCCAGGCTTCTTGTGCCCAAGCAAGCTGTTACAGGATCCTCGACCCATTGGTATGAGAATTGGCCACAGGACTCTCGGATAAGATGAGCGAAGCGGTGTGGTTGTCCAAGAGCTGCGCGCCGCACAATCACTTCGTTGTCATAGGCCCCCTGGAGGCAGAAGGCATAGATGCGGTTGCGAAGCTCGCGTGGTAAACGTGCAAATAGGCCCACAGCAACGTTTCTTGGATGAGATGCACCAAGGCTCTGGCCTGTGTTTCTGGCAAGTTAGCTTCATTCAGGAAGTCAAGTACATGTATTGCTTACTGTTTTACATGTCGAGCAACCATAGGTCTGTTGCTTCTTGAGGGAAGTGGGTGCTGTGTCCTGTCCAGTCGGTACATGTTACAGTTGTCCACGCAAGCTTCTTGATATAATGGTTGGATAGAATGTGTGATATCTGGGCAACGCTCGAAAAACCAAAGTCCCATGGTACCTCACATATACGGTTATCCATGGCGGCGGTGCCGCATGCTAAAGTAAGACTGCCATGGAAGGGCTTACTCGCCGTCACGTGAGCACTAACCGCCAAAGACTGCCTTTCGCGAAACCGCTCGCGAAACGTTGCTGACTAGTCAATGCCCAATACGCCGTAAACCGAATTAGGAAAGCATTGCGCAGCGCACGGATCACACGGAAAGCAAAGAACACCACTGATCCTTTACACAGACCCTGCTTGCCAATGCGAAATTTACAATAAGACCGAAGTGTCCGATAGAGGCTGATTCGAGGCCACCCAAAGCACGGTCCGGTGTTTTCGACGTAAGATAGCGCTGGCCGTTAGTCGGTGACCACATCAACGCGTATGCAGTGCACCGTCTCAACAAGGACGGTTTTGCGAAAGAAAAAAGGGCGAGGCAGCTGTTTGCACATATCAACATCCCAGCCAGTTCATTCAGCAGGTCGTTATGCGACGAGTGGCTCAAAGATCACATGTCTCTACCCCACTGCCAGATACGTGGTTGGCAGACATCATGCGTCTTATTCACCGTTTACCTTCAAGCCCCGCAGAGGTGACGAGACGCAAACCTAGGGGTGAGATTCAGGGTCCATTTTCGATATCTGACACCACGTCCTTGCGCACTAGACCACAGTCCCTGTCGGCAGCTCACAACCACGCCGCATGCAGTGCAGCAGACTCAACAGCATCGTGGGTGCACAATGCTGACCCGCAGATAAACAGTCGTTTGGCTCGGGCTCCGTAGAGATATTTGCTCGGTGGGCCTTCACATTGTCTGACCACGTTGGCTGTGCCGCACGCAGGTGAAGAAACACCCCCTGATGTCGGTCTTCGGTCACCGTATCCCACCGCACTCTATAGTCCCCCCGAGAGTTCCGCATCCAAGACATCGGGCAAATCGACGGCTTTTTGTTGCGTTGCCACGATTGAGAATTCGCTGTGAGTGGGAGTCGCTGTCCACGGCCCCAGTCGTCGTATCTGGTCGCCCTTCTTGATGACAGTCATACTGTACATGCTATATAGGTATGGGGAAACCATGCTGAGCTCGCTGTGTACATACTACGTGGTATGCTCAAATGACACGCAGCCGTCGCCTGAAGCCAAGCGATTCATAGGCACTTTGTCTTGTCCGCTTACGCACTGTTTCAAGACGACCAAGCATTTCGAGCACCAACCGTCAAATATATTCTTCGGCGTACACGACAAGTCTGTGTTTTGGCAACGCTTCGGCCCGCAAACCACAGCACTGGGGCGAGGCTGCAGATTCTGGGCGCGGTGGATTTACTGAAGTGACGAGTAAGGCCGGGGTGTAGCCGTTGTGAATTCTCTCCCACATTAACCGTGTACCTGCTTTACCCGGCATTCACCGATCCATCGTGGGGCAGTCTCAATCTTCATCCTTCGACTGCTCGTGACCGCGTCTGACTATTTCTTGCATACCGACTTTTCAGACAACCTACCATCATCAATGCTTTCAGCCTCTTCCATAAGCGCTTGGTGGCCAGCCAAACAGCGTCATTGGCAAGACTGCACAAGTAAGCTGATCGGGGTGTGGGGGCCGGCAAACCGACATCCTGATCGCTGGGACGCCTTAAGCTGAAGTGCGCAACTACACAGCACTAGCGATTACAGAAACAAGGGTGTCAAGGCAGAAAGCAGTGAGCACTTGAGGGTGTACTATGCCCCCAAACGGGAAATTTGGAACATTTGGGAGTGGTGACTGGAATCTCATGCATCTGCCTAGAGTTACTGTCAGAAATGTCCCCGCTGGTCAGACGAAAACTCACAATGAGAAATCCACAGGATAGAAAGCCGAATCCTTCATGAGAGAATTTTTGGGTTATTTCGACACTCGCTCAGCCCTACCATAGCTTCTCACTGCGCCCTTCTGCCCGTCGACGGCGTAAACCCGAAAGCTGGACTCCGACCGGTCTTCATTCCACATCGGGCCTCGATACGAACAAGACAGACCTTCAGGTGTACCTGAGCCCCCATATTGGCAACATGGCCATTCTTCAGCGACCTCTGAAGAGCTGATAAGACACATCTTCTAATCGTGTCGTATGTGGCGCACCAGCGAAATCCTATCAGGGTGCTCTTGAGGCTGTCACTGAATGTGAATAGCCCAGATATGGGATTAGGCGGGAAATGACTGTGGGCAATAGTATCACACCAAGGTCTAGTGTGGGTGTTGTAGGAGTCTAGATGGATGGCTGGCTCATAGGTTCCCCTGTCCTCCTAACCACTTTGGTATCATTAGGGGCGAAGCACGAGGCATTCATCGTGGCATGGCCACAGAACACAGTCACGACCTGTTTCGGGCCAATGTACTAGACAGTGGCTTGGGAAACGCCATGCCGCGAGAGAGAGAAAGAGGACAATGGGGGCCTATGGTGTAGGAGGGAAAGAAGAGAGCAACCTTATAATCTGCAAGTGTCAGTTTCACATGTGCATGCTCATCTCAGGGAACCAGGCCTTGTAAACTGTCTTTGATAATCGATTATGAAACGAAGTGCTAAGACAGACGCTGTGTACATCACTGGCCTCGGTCACGAGTATCCACCCCACACGATTCAACAGGAGGACTTTGCCAAAATCATTGAGAGTTTGTATCCTGGACACTATCTCTCGTCGCCAGGGTATGTAGTCCCGATTTTTTTTTCCACAAATCTCTCTCCGTACAGTGTACCCCTTTTCTGACATGAACCTCGCAGTATCCAGAAGCTCGTCGACTTCAACACCAAAACGCAAATCAAATGCCGCCCCACTGTCTCGGATAACAATACCTGGACACAGAAAGATGCACAGCCACCAAGTCTCACGTCGCTTTCACGCAGTTTCCGGACCAAAGGCCTCGATCTCGCCACGGCAGCATGCACCAAGGCCATGAGCGAGGCGGGCGTGTAGGCAAACGACATCACGCACCTTGTAGCGGTGACGTGCACCGATCAGGGGAACCCAGGCTACGATCTTTTTGTGAGCGAGCGTCTGGGGCTGGGGCCCAGCGTGCAGCGCGTGCTTGTGCAGGGCGTGGGCTGTGCAGGCGGCTTATCCGCGCTGAGGGCTGCCGCTGACATTGCGGCGGCTGCAGCGCTCAAGCGGCGATGCGCCCGCGTGCTCGTCTCGGCCTGCGAGCTCTGCAGCTTGTTCTTCCGCACAGAGCTCCACAACATCGTACATACCCACGATCAAACTTTGCATATTGCCCCTGCCCTGTTCTCCGATGCCGCCGCCGCCCTCGTCGTGTGCAACGGCCTCGCGCTGCAGACGCATACAAGACCGGTTTTTCAACTCGCTGAATGGGCCAGCTCAGTCGTGCCTGGGACGTCGGGCTTCATGTCGTATCACGTTGAGAAGAATGGTACGTAAGATAATCTCTATTTTGTTTCTGCCCGAGTTTTCTTTTTTTTGTGCAAGTGTGCACCACCGACAACTTTTGATTGATTGATTGATTGCACGATGCTAACTCGACACCAACCCCCCCCCCACAAGGCATGATTGCAACCATCAGCAAAGACGTGCCCAAAGCCGCAATCAGCGCCATTGCCCCCATGTTCCAGCAGCTCTGCAACAACACACGGGGCCGGCCCCGCAAGACGCCAGATCTGGACTGGGCCCTGCACCCCGGCGGCGCGGCAATCCTGCACGGCGCAAAGCACGCACTGCATCTTTCCGACTCGCACATCCGCGCCTCGCTCGATGTCTACAGGAACCACGGGAATTCTTCCAGTGCCTCCGTGCTCATCGTCCTGGATACGCTGCGCCGCTTGGGGCCAGGTAGAGACGATGTTGCTGCCGTGAGTTTTGGCCCGGGCCTCACGGTTGAAATGTGCATCATGAGTCGGTGTCGCGGCGATGCTGATTCTCGGGCTGCAACTCCGCCGGGGCATCGTGGAAAGATGGCTTCGTTTTGCGGCGCTTTGTACTCGCGCTTGTCGAGGAAGGTTGCGGGGAGACATGCGGCTGTAGTCAAGGATGTGAGTTAGATGCACATCAAGGCGGTGTAGTTCTTCTGTAGATGAACCGTTTACCTTGTTGTTGTTGTATATAGTGCGCCGGGAGGGACACAAATCAGTGCCCAGTGCTGGAATCGCCAAAGCCTTTGGTCGTAGAGATAGAATTTCTTGTCCTTGAAGAGTTTTTTCCTGGAATTCTCTACGGCGATGTAGCCGAGTTCGGTAAAGGGGGAAAAGAAATATCATACTTGGGTTTTTTACTTCCATCCTGCGTATGCAATCAGCGTCGTCTTTGAAGTCGATGAGAAACAGGGGCGTTGTCAGTAACTCACAGTTGAGAGAACACGTGTGTTGCATTGAGTCGACAACTAGAAATTACCTTACACAGTGGTTAATCCATGAAATGAGATGCCGTCTATAAAAAAGTTTGGTCTTTTGTGTGTTGGAATCAGCAAGAGATTCCAGCTTGAATAACAATAGAACCCAGATCACAAGTCAAATCAGCCCATCACACTAGCTGGCTCCTGATTATACACTTTCATTTGACTGACCTTGAATTATGACATCTATTATATTCTAATACCAAGACTGGTGTCCAGAAAGCGTATATTTTCACTGAGTTATTAGAATGAACAGTTGCTGTTTGTCCTTCATAATTTTGATCTCATCGCAATTCATAACCATCCTCCCAATGGCGATTGTAAAAGGTAATAAGAGCTAACATACCGCATATAGATGACGCAATATGATGGCGTGAGTGAAGTTTGTAAGAGACCAAGGGTATGCTAGCCGTGGCCTATCATTCTCCTCGGAAACAACCAAACATAATGAAACAGGGGTTCCGTTGCCGTAGTGTCTTTACTGAAATAAGTTTCAAGCGTTTCATCTCATTTGTTTTGATCTGATTACCAGATATCAATGCATTTAGAGTGCATTACGAACTGCGGTTCATAGTTGCATGGGGGTGCATGTCCTTGACTTTGCAAGATATTTTTTCTGCATTTAGGTACCATTTTAGGTGTCAGTATGGTTTATAATGCTTAGAGCGATTGCTCATACAGCGTCATGTGAACAAAGTCACTTCAATACCAAGAGCGGATGCAGGAAAATAACTGCAACCGACAAACAGCATGATGTGCTGGAAATGTGCTCCATGAGCTATATTGTTGTATTCGCGCCAATCATTTGGGAGATTGGCATGGCTTTGAAATAGTCTAGAAAGAAACAATGAGGTCTACTCCTTGATTGGCAAGGGCATTCCCAAAAGACCTCAATCTTCAATGCCACTTCAATCAGTAGAAGTTTTGCGAAATAGGAGCTATAACGTGGTTCACAAGTGAGTCGCTAACCCAAGCGAGTCGCTAACGCCCCACCAGCCCATCAACTTCATCACTATAACGCGTGATGTCTCAACAACGCAACTATCTATTAATATATTCTAAATCTAATCTTCAACTTGCTTTTTTTAACGTCTAGTCGCAACGTGTTCAGAGTGTAAACTGTGCTACTACTATCTACAACGTCCTACAAAGAACTCTATCTGATCAACGCGCTGGAAAGCGCCCTCGACGCGACTGCGAGCCGAAATCGAAGCGTCTAGATAAGCTAGAAGAGGAGGCTATAGTTGAGCGTATTCTTGAAGAGTCTGCGCGAGGATTTGCGCCTACAAAGCTTAACGTTCGAGTAATGGCTAATAAACTATTGGAGGAGCGTGGTGGCAACCCTGTTGGCAAGAACTAGGTTGACAACTTCGTTAAGCGGACTCCTGAGCTCCGTACGCGCTGGAGCCGTCCCTATAATCACCAGCGAGCCGCCTGCGAGGATCCAGTGGCTATCCAGCGCTGGTTCGACTTAGTCCAGGCGACAAGGCAGAAGTGGGGTATTGTGGACGACGATATCTACAACTTTGACGAGACTGGCTTTATGATGGGCAAGATTTTATCACAGTTAGTTATCACAGCATTAGAAGGATATAGGAAAAGAAGCAGATACAGCCAGGCAACCGTGAGTGGGTACTGTGA